ATATGTTTGGGCCAATTAGAATCGAGAAAAATAATACGTATACCCTCAAGGTTAAGTGACTAAATTTCGTACAACATCGAAGCATATTGCATAACGTTCAAAAGCATTATTTTCTCTTTCTTATCCACGCATTAACGGCAACTATCAGTTTTACGCTCTGGCCATTTGAAACGCCATCCCACCTCGGAGATCAAAGGCAGAATATTATAATCATTATGATGGCGCTGCACGATATTTTGCTAACATAGTCCAAGGACGAGCTTTACCGCTTAATTGTTATGCTTGTTTAGATTTGTAATTTCTTACATGCACATGGAGCCGTCTTATCCCAGACGTCTGACTGCAAACTGCGCATCCATTTTTTTTTAATTGCAAGCGACGCTGAATTATCTCTAAGTAGACCAATAAAATCTGAATGATTATATGCAGTGAAAAAGAAAGTGAGCGTGCTCATTTAAATTACAAACTGTAGCAGATCAATGAGTTAAAATGATAATGTTAGGAAAGATACTGTAACTCCTGTAATGTTTAAATCTCTTGTGCATGAAGGTTTTTTTCTGGATCCTTGATTGAAACATCGACGTTTCGACAACCTCTCGTTGTCTTTTTTTACGATGGTGTTTGTATAGGTCACGTGATCACTTTGGTAACGTGACTGGAGACTGAACCCATAAATCTCTTGTGTGGGTACTCTAGCTCGGAGTACCTGCACGCCTCTCACGCCTGTGTGCCATATATTTATTTTGCACGTAATTTATAGGACACGATGAAGACTCCAGCCAGACCTCGTCGTCTTCTTCAGCTTCGTTGGTAAATGCACCATTTGCTCGACCTTCAACACAGCAGATCTGGGAGCGAATTTATAAGCGCATGTTACAGTTACATCCGGAACTGGCGACATCGACATATGCATTTAAAACATCACTCCAAGATATCCAGCTGGTGAGTCATTTTGATCTGTTGAGTGAACAAAAAGAAATTGAGCATATTGCGGCTGTCAGCAGCAGAAAGGATGAGTTCGTAATCTTCTCCCAAGATAACTACAATTTGAAAAGGCATTTTCGAATGCTACGCCGAGATCATCCCTCTATCACACTCGGTACGGCGAAGCACGGCGAGGAAGATTTGCTTTCAGCAGTGGAAAGTCAAAATGCTGAAGAATCTCGCATCGTGACCCATAATCCCTCGTGTTCTCTGCTTTCTGTACGTTTGCCTCCTATTGATGAAAGGAGCATCTCTCCTTCTGGAAGGGAGGCACTGCGGAAACTTCGTGGGCAAGTTGACCATCATCGTGTCTATTTAAGGTCCATTATTCCTTTCTAGGTTTGGTTTAAGATGGCTCGAACCTTATGCCAGTTGATGGCACAAATTTTTGCGGGTTCTAATTTTTTGCGATTTTTTTAGCGATCCGCAAAAGTAAGTTCCCGCAAATAAAAATTACTGGAAACATTTTCCCGCAAAAATTTACTGTAGCGTAAATATTCTCGAAATTAAATTCGCTACACAAAAATACAGTACCAAGAAATCGTGTCTGTTCAATTACAACTTACGTATTTCATCCAGAAACGAGAAGGTAAACAATGAATTACAGCTGGTTTTACATAGGGTACGCATACCGTATTGTATTGTTTGAAAATATGTCTTTCCATCGCACGTACTTAACAAACACGAAAATATTATCAATGCTGGGTACTGGGTACTTTCTGAGAATTGCAAAAATTAATTTCCAGCAAGAAAAACCGATTTGTCCCAATCGCAAAAATTAGTTCCCACAAAACACAAAAAATCGCCAGTCCGCAAAATTAAACTCCCGCGAAAATTTGTGCCACACGGTATTTGATAGTCAGGATCTCAGACCGTATTTTATGGTAAAAACTATGAGCGCAGAGTATATCGGGCAATATCAAAGTAAGAACTGTGAGGAACTCTTAGATACATTGTTTACGAAATAGAGAAGTCACTTGGTATAATAAAATATTTCTTTTAACTTTAAATGATATACCCAAGAACAATAATATGGAGTTGGCATAGCGCCGTCTAGTGGTATTAAGTGTATCTCAGAAGAAGATCTACTTTGATCCGCCCAGCGATTAATATATTGTTGCTGGCGCCTGTAAGAACTCTAAAAATTCTAAATACCATATTTCAACAATTTGCCCAAGCTGTCCCACAGAGGGGAACAGCATCAGACTGTTCTAGGGTATCCTAGACTGTTTTCATCTCCATATAAAACGGCGGAATTTTTTTGCTCTTTTACTATTTAACTAAATTTCGTTGGGTATTTCCTCCAGATACAAAGTTCTTAAAACGCCTCCTAGCTGCTATACCCGCGCCAGCCTTGTTACACATCATCATCGTATCGATATGACGCTCAGTCTCATCTAAGTGTACCCCTAGGCATTTATGTGTGCTGGATCGTGATATAGGTTTATTGTTTACCACACCAGCTAGGATGCCTACTTATCTTTCTATTCAGATCTTGATAAGAGGAGCCAAGGAGTTAAAACAAGAGGGGTGCATTTGAATTTTTTTCTCTATGAGCCAATGCAACTACGAATATGAGGCTATGGAGTTTGCGATGATCGAGTTCGTTGGCATCGTAACAGGGTGAAGTTTGAGTGTAATGAATGATTGTGGATTGTAATTTACAAGAAAAAAAAAACAAAAACAACAACACTGGCCCCAGAATTGAGCCCTGGGGGACTCCATAAGTAATAGCTGGCCGTTGATGATGCATTTCATTCATTACTCATATGGATGAAGGCCATTACTGTAGGGTGATTCTTGGCCGGAATCCTGATTGATTTTGCTGGCATGGCGTTTTCACAAAGGAAGCTTTAGAGGTGATGGAAAAACGGTTTTTTCAATTGCTCTACTCATTACCAGTAATATAAAAATGGGTTTATGTGAATTACTACCAATTCTGTATCATTCTTTTCCTATTTCTTATATTATAGTCCAGTTGTAATATTTGTTTTTTTCAGTTCAACTATTATAACTGTAACTTTTGTTGTGTAAATAAAACAATATTATTTTTTTAAAAAGGGACGATTATAATTTTCTCATTGCCCTCTGTCTCCAGAATTAAAAGTAGGTGTTACACGTACGCAATTCCATTTTTTCCCGTTTATGTCATTGCTAGCTTTCGTGTAGTTAAGGGACAGATTAGAGATGAATGTCAGTGAGGGTAAAATGATACTCGCAGATAGTTTAGAATTTTGGCAGGAAACCAATTATGACGCATATTTTATTACACGTTCCGATGATGATAATCTCGACCCTTACACGTCTCGCTGCTGCTGATTACGGCGTATACCAAAGGTATCCGAGAGACATCTTCACTAAAATGCTGCTATGCAACAAAATATTTATAATCTCTAACTCCTTTCACGGCCTAATTAGTTTTAGGCATCGAAAAGTTAGGGCCCGCGCAGGGGGTGGGGTGCCTGGGGAGGCACGGACCCCCTATTATGAACAACAAAAAAATGCGATGAATTTAGGTTTCTGGGAAACTGCCCTCCCAACCCTTCCACTGAGCCAACATTTTGCTCTAAGTGAGAAGTAAGTGTTAATGTTAGCTTAGGGGAGGGGTAGGTGGACAGTTTCCCAGAAACCTGGATTGGGCCAAAAAATGATTTAATGACAAAAAGCTTAGTAGCAGACAATTTCTTTGCTGGGATAAGAATAATCGGCTGACGGAACTCGAAAAAAAAACATCCGAAATTTATGATCGGTCCGTTTAGACCCCGGTGGTAAGTCCTTACGACAGTCTTTAACTTAGTCGAAGACGTCTGTTGGTGAAAAGAGCGTTTAGTCGAAATGAAATTTAACCTATTACTCATCGACTTATCCGTTCTTGTATCAGGTTTAATTTACGCTCGACATGCCAGCAGAAGATTTTTTGCACATTATAATGCTTTAAGTATTGATGAGGTACATTTGAGAAATAATAAGAAAAAGTATGAACTAAAAAATGTCCTGTCGAAGGCTCCGCTCAACAATGACTCAAGAAAAATTCAGTAATCTGACACTATTAACTAAACCGCCACAAAGAGACAACGGACAAACTTTGCCTTGCCAAGGTGGCAAATGAATTTGCTGATCGCAACGATAATACTAGGAATAGAAATATAGGCACACTCAAAAGAATATCATTACATGGCATTAAGCAAATAAATCACGCCAAAATTATGATGCGATGCCGTCTTTTCTCAGAACGTCTATGACGTGTGCACGGTTACTGACAGTTCATTTTGTTACTAATTCCTTTCTCGTTTGTTGAACTAAATGCTTCATGAGTGGTAACAGGTAAATTGCATTTTTCGGCTAAAAATCTCTCGTTTCTTCTTAATGTTAAGATGATAAAATGCATTTAACCCATGATAGCCTGCACAACAGGCGCTTTCTTCTCCCCTCGTCTCACGCTCAGCGCTCGTGTCGCGCTTGGCGCAAAATGCCGCGTTCGTCTCTCTTGGCTCATAAAGCGCCTGTTATGCAGGCTAAACCCATGATTCTCAGAGTCGAACCCGCACCCCTCCCCGCTACTCTTCATTTAATCAGGTGGAGCGGCCCCTGCACTTCAGAAACTTCTCCGCAGGTCATGTTTGTCACCCTAACCATGTCTTTTTTGCCATTATTTTACAATCGAACCCATATACCGGGGTATGTAGGTTTATTATTATTGCTTTTGCTGTTTTTGCTGCGGTGCAGACAGGCCGACGTTTTATCTAACATGGTCGCTTTAATTAGCTGCTCAATGACTTGAACTGTTTGCATTGTTTGATTAGCAGAAATCTCAGTCAAAAACGTCGCCTTGTAGTGGAGCTAAATGATATATAACTGTAATTTTCTCCGTACATTTTATTGTTTTTATCTAAGAATTACTTTGCGTACAACTTAAACCGATATCAAGCGAGAGGACGACACGATCAGGTGGGAGTCCCCTCCCCGGGCGTTGGAAGAAGGCTGCTGGCAAGAGACAATCGGGGGCTCAGTTCTGTTAATAATAACTCATGACGTTTCTTTATAGACGCGCAAAAAACCGGCGCTGGCAACTGTCTGAGGAACGGAACAAACAGATTTCTTTATGTTTTAGAAGATGACTGACATTCAAGCAGATGCTATCGGTAGAATAATATGTCAAACATACCACTTATTTCCAGAGATACTCGGCCAAAATTACACTCTCAACGAGATTCTTACTTTCGTCCGCCATAATGGCACATATCTCTCTGCCATCTCACACGGGACTGGTCTTAAAGAGGAGGGTATACAAAACACTTTAGACAGTTATTTGTTTGTAACGCAGTATTTGCAACCGACGACAGCTCCGCCGCCCGCAAGTAACATCACAGACAGGTAAGCTATATTTTATATAGTTAGCGCAAGTAAAAATAACAATGCGGAAAGCCATACTTTAAGAGATATTTTAATATTTTTCTTTCTTTCGGTTAAAAAAGAACATCTAATGCCCATCTCAGTTCACTGCACTAATTTCCTTTCTGGTCCTTTGCAAAAGGTGACCAACAGCCACGAGTGTCTCTCCCGCTACACTTTGACTAGAAAAGAACCGACGGTATGCAAATTTACTCCGAAAAATTGTAAACAAAACCGAGCTGTGAACTGAATGAGTCTAATTAAGTAGCAGCTACTTAGTTTTAGTTCTTTTACAAGGAAACGATTTTTGGAACAGCGGATATATAGCGAAATAAATATATTACAGTCAGGTATATACTGCCATACGACTAACAAAACATTAATAGGCCATTATCCTTAAGAGATTTACACATGTTCTTCGGTCGTCACGCTTTGACGCAATTTAACAGCTTTCAGAAGTATGCATGAAAACTAGTTTAATTTGGTGTTTTTTAAGCAAAATATACTTAATGTCAGCTTTTAGGGCGGCCACCCTCTATTCGTGATTGTTAATGCGATTTTCATTAAGCTGAAAGGTCACTTGTCACTGCCCTTCCGATGATGGCCGCTTCGTATATTCGTCTCAGTTTAATTCAGAGAGAACAATATTGATTTTTGATTGAAGTCATGCCCAATTGATATTAGTATTACACTTTTAAAATCGAATCGCATTACTTTCCAAATTGCGCTAGTGAAATATTAACTATATTATCGCCGTTTTCAGCATTTTGTGGCCAACCGACAGCTGAACCGTTTGTCAGGGAAATTTGCTCTCGGTTGAAACGTCACAAAAGACAAGTGTTGTTTGGTTCCGCAACCGTATATTTCGTTTGGATCTTTTTTCGCGCACACTTCAGTTTTAAGTGTAAGTTTGAAAGTCGGGTCAAAGGTTTCTCGTTTATGAAAACTTCAATTAACAGATGTATAAGGTGTTTCCCGTAGAGGTTTTCTAAAAATCCGTTTTGGTTGGGTCATCGGTCAGGAGGGAAAACGAAGACTTTCTCAAGCTTATTCTTGCGACTTGTTCGCTCAAAAAAGTCGGCTTGTAGGCAAGTCCATAGATAGGTCTATATTTTCCTGAATGGAGAATTATAAGAAAATTTTTTAATTAAAACATCACTTCTGTCAGAAGGTGTGAGCGGCTTCCTTTAAAACAGGCAGTCAACAGAACATCGAATATTAAATACGAAAGATTCGAATCATAAGAGTTCTTTAAACCCTGAACGTCAGAGACACTTAGGTCGATTAGTTCAACGGTTAATTTCAGTCTCCCTTTGAGATTATCCCTGAAGAAAATGGTTATTTTATGATTTGCTTTTGTGTGTGTGTGACACAAATTTTGAGCGAGAACGTCAAACAAACAAGCGGATTTATAAGTGAGCCCAATACCGCCGCGGAATTCGACTTTTATGACTTTGACACTAAGTTGCAGCAGCTGCTTAGCGATGACGAATTTACGCATTGCGTATAGAAGTTTTGCACATTCATAGATGCGGAATATTCATTTTCTAGAATGACAGTTGATTTTTGGCACAGTCAGAGTCAGTACCTTTGGTGCAGGTGGCCGCGAACAACTTGTCTCGCGCTCACGAATTTAGCCCGGGAACTTCAGCCGTCTCTCCTTGCCAAGGACGTTTCACCAGAAAGAAAACCTCTAAAGGGGGCGACGAGGGACGGCTGTATTCGCAGGCCAGTAGGCATCTTGATTTGATATCTCGTGACAGTATCAACGTAGAAATACAGCACATCCAATAATAACATGGGGGGCTGTATCAAGGTGCTCACTACATGCAGACGAATGAACAAAAGAATTATTATTAATCGATGAAGTACCACAGAGACTAATCTTTATTTCGACCATACTGTGCACTAATAGCTTCCTTAGTTTATTATATATTTCTCAACTATTGGAGAAAATTTCGCATTTTAATTAATGGGTTAATTTCTTATTGCATACCGAGTTTCCTGAACCGACCATATTTTCTTTTAAGGGAGTGGGGCTGGGTGTTTGCCGAGAAAAATTTACAGCAGACAGTCTTGCAAGGGAAATGAGTTCTTGCGTGGAGTAAATATCCTTATCTTTTACATCAAAACAAAATATAAAAAACGATCATATAGAAGGTTTATTAAGGTACATAAGGTAGTTCCGAAAACGTTGTTGCCCTTGCAAGTTCTATGATCGATTTCTTAGTTTAAACGTTACCCGGTTCACTCGAACGTCTTCAGCAAGAGGTTTCCGAAATATTCGAACGTCTAAACTAAGTTGGTCTGAGTGAGGGCATGAAATTCTCTCTTCTTTCTTTCTCTGACGTTTGTAGTTATTAATACTGACTTTCATGGTTGCCATAGGTCAGGAAATGGTCAGGGAAAAAATTCTTCAAGGTCTGGGAAAAGTAAGGGAATTTCACTTTAAGTCGGGGAAAAGTTAAATGTTTGATAGAATTCAGGGAAAAGTGAAATTTTAAGAGTACATATTTATTCTTTTCCCTCTACTTTATTACTGTTTTCTAACATAAAAATTCTCTATTACATTTTACAGTCATGAATTGTATCTTATTGGTAGAATATTCTCATGAAATTGAAGGAAAAGGCCATCTTGCCTTTTCAAGAACATAATTTTTTTGCACGTTGTGTGTAAATGAACTGTCAATTCATATACCTTAATTTGTACACTGCACGTGACTTGCTGAAAGCATTAATAAATAGGTGGAGGGGATGGCTATCATCAGGTCTGATGTGCGAAATTGTTAATTGTTTACATTTGCCAGAAAAAGTCAGGGAATTTCGGAAACCTCTGACTGTGGCAACCATGAGTTTGGATTTCAATAATAAGTTCGTAATACTGACTGTCGATCTATAGATCACAGTATCGACCTGTGTGGCTCGCTCCTCGCGCGTGTCGCGCTCTCCTAAATGGAGAGCTTGCTCGCAGGCTAGCCGTTGTGTCTAAATAAGTTGAAAGTTGCTTGCGAGCCAACTCTCCAATTCCAGGTTATGGTAAACGAAGCCAGCCACGAGAGAACACGCGAGTTAGCCGCGAAGCCGCGAGGGGCGGAGGTCTCTTTCGCGTGCTGCTCTCTTGACTTCTAGCGACTACTCCAAATGGAGAGCTTGTTCTCAACTGAAAGTGGTTAGTTTACTTACAACATTTTAGCCTCTTCTTCGTGTGATATAATCACCTTTGCAATCTAAAGGCAATTTATTAAGCTTTCTCAAATGGAGAAATGGCTGCATACTTGCTGAGCGGCGAGAACTTCAGCTTTATAAGACAGCAAAGTAATCAAAGTGTAAATGAATATGTTTATCTTACTTTTTTTCAGTGCTCTACTCTGCGTACCTCCCATATCTAATGGAATTTGGACGTCGTTAGCGGTGATTCCTGCGGTAAGGCTTTTGAAAATTTTGTTATATACCAAACGCCTTGCAGTCGCCAAGGTTTTGACAAACCTGACGGTGCGGCGTGAGATGCATTTTTCCTTCAGCACGCCCAACAGCATTATTCCACAGAAATAACTTCAGAGATATGTGTCAGGTAACAGTCAATTGTATCTTATGTTACGTAACGCTAGTTGCTTAATTTACGCCCCTGTGTTACATTTACTTACAGGTTGAATAGATCATATACATGATGTACTGATTTAAGGGAAACAAAGAACAATTTTGGCTGGATTTACAATAGGGTTTATTGGTCCCAAAATAGTGGTCAGTATGGTACAGTAGGGTTGTGTCCAATGTAAAGAGTACCAAGTTGTTCTTTGTCGTCTCCGCCCGTTTCCTCGTTGCGCGGCCGGATGTTTCAGTTTTTCCCTTGCGCATCAAGCAATAGCGCAAGTTCATCGCAAGCCTTGGTTTAAAGTATTACATTTTTCCTTTAGCTTCTTATCCTACTACTTCTCTCCTGTTTGCGAAAAAGGACCAGGGAGGTAAAGCTGTTCGGTCGGAAAATCGTACGACCGGGATTATGCATGTAAGTAAAACCAGCTGCCTTTGATTGAGTCGTCTTCTTTTTTAATTCTATATTATCAGGCTATTTTACGTGTGAAACCTGTTAAGCTAAATAAGATTGAACATTGCTTTCACGTTAAAAGTTTAATTATTTTAGCAGTCAATATTCGTGTGAAATGGCATTAGACTCTCGTATAGCAAATGTATTTCTTAGTTTCTGGTTAGCATATTCCCCCAGCTAATCATAAACAATTGGCCGTTTCCATATTTGGAAAATATTCAAACCCGATTTTCATGGTCACTGCGATTGTTAAAAAAAAGTTCAGCGATCGTAGCGATCATGTGGAAACCACTCTCCAGCGATCGTAGCGATAGCAAAAATACCAAGATGCAATACGTACGCTCACCCATTTAAAGATGACTGCCACCACGATTACCGAGAATTTATTGAATTTAGCACTTTTTATGGAAGAAGTGCAAAAATTCGACTGCCTTTAAGCAATTGGGGAAACATTCGGCCTGAGTCCCGATCTCAGCGATCATGTGGAAACCATCAATCGCGACGATCTCCGGAACCATTTTTTCTGCGGTCGCAACAATCGTAGCGATCACATGAAAACCGGGCTTTAGATTGTACCATCGTTGACATAAGTGATTGTGTATTAGTTGTCGGCTGGTATATCGGAGAATCATGCCCGCCGCGGCTGACAGAGCATTTTCGCTTCGAGAGCCAATGTGAAATTTTGAGGATAATCTCTCAGCCAAGAGAAGGCGCTCTTAGATTATATTTTACCGACAGCACTGTTCGAAAACTACTCTAAAAACGTTTCTAATAAATAAGTAAAGAAAATCCAACCATGGCACTTGAACTGCCGCTGCGCGGGCTAGAAAAGTAATTACAACTATGAAACACAGAATATGAACAATCTAGAACATTTGAAGGATTTAAAACTTGACTTTGTGGCAGTGTGGTGGAAGCTGAGGAAGTCATAGAAACTAGGAAACGTAAAAGAACTGTCATGAGACCCAGCTGTAAGAACAGGTTGAGTTATTAATCGCCTGACAATCGAAGATGACTCGAACTGTTGCTCTATATGTTGGTTGCGCACTGTACGACAGTATGACTGTTGTATGTGGAGTATGGCTGAAGATAAAAGATCAAATTTGCAGCTTTATTCCCCATATTGGTTTGTTACCATATAATTTTATGTGTGAAAGGTTTGATCTTGTATACTGCTCCGTGTCTTTCCTCCGGTTTGTGTTTATGTCGATTCTTGTTCATGCCCACGTGACCGGAAGTCACTCCAGTTAACTTTGGCTCGGATTTGACCTGAGATTTTTTCAATTTTGTTTTTCTAGTCCTGTGAATATGGTGGACAGTTATGAAAACAGATTTGCCTTTGCTTGTGCATTCGGAGCTACTACAACCAAGTGCTTGAGTATATTGTTTTTCGGGAGTTATGAAGAGATCTTCTCTCCAGAGTTCAACGAGTGGATTCAGAGCCCTGCGGTTCCCAGCTTCACTGGCAGTAAGCCTACAATAATTTATTATCATCATCGTCATCATCATCATCATCATCATCACCATCATCATCATCATCATCATTATCATCACTATTGTTATTAGAGCGAAATTCGGGAGCGTGCGTGAAAATCGTCGCTTGCGTGGAGAAGCGAGGCTTTCCCCTCGTGACACCTTCCTCACGGACATTTGCCTGATAAACATGCTAGTCATGGTCTATTACTAGTTAGTAAAATCCAACTTGTGGTCTATTATCAATACTGTGTTCTGATTGGTTGAGCTAGCAGCGAAAAGCGCAGGCTTTGAAAACCAAAACGATGGCGGCTGAATCGCGTTTTGCTGGCTTAAGTTGTTTTGTCTCGATATTTTTGACCAACTTGTTGGATTTTACTAAAACAATTATTCCTCTCGCCCTCATGGCCTGAGTCAATAGCCCATTCGGCCTTCGGCCTCATGGGCTATTAACTCAGAGCCCATTCGGGCTCGAGTAATAATATTTAATTATTTTATTGTCGTCGTTATCCTTTAAGTGGTGATTTTGCAAGTCTTATGCTTCCCCGATTCTGATTGGCTAAAAGCGCACGCATAATTCATCATAACCAGCTATTGATGACCAAATTTGGAAGAATTTTGCGATTAATCAACCGATGACGTCAAAAGTGCGGCTTCCTTGCAGGTTTATGCACTGTTAGCCGAGAAGACCTGGATACGAGGTTGAGTTGTTTTGGTTTTGAAAACAAAAATGGTGGACATTTCAATCGTTTCAAGAGTAAGAACTAGGCGAAATAATAGCTAAAAACATTGCAAGAACAGCAAGAAGACAACTCGAAGGGCGACATCTGCTATTTGGGGAATATTTGCGGAGCTAAACAACCGTAAACGTGCATTTTCGAAGATGAACTTAACATCGATGGAGGTGAGCATGTTTAGCTATGTTTTTAAACTAGGAATTATTTTGAGTGAATGATAAAACGATGATTGAATTCGGCTTTCGTAACATATGAACAATTATGGACCTATTTTCAGTCGGAAAGTAGGGTTATGTTGTAAACGGCCACGTTCGATATATTTAAATTCTAGCATGACTCTTAGGCTTTTGGAACAAAATTGCAGATTTTTCACGACTCCATTGTCACGCAATTCCCAGAAGAGACTTGAGCACAAAGAAAATCAAACCAAATATACAATACAATACAATACCTTCATTACCTCTCTCGAAGGGGCTATTATTAAATAATATACAAAGAATAATAATTGCCTTAAGTTACAAACATCATTAAAAACGAACCTGAAATCATTCGTTCCAATTTAATCTTACTGGCTAAGTTATCGAAGTTGAAAGAATCATGAAAACAAAAAACATCTCTCGAAGGGGCTATTCTGAAATAATTACAAAGGAATAATAATTACCTTAAGTCACAAGCATCATTAAAAACTACGCTAAAATCATTCGTTACAATTTATATGCTAAATAGTTCAAGCCTTACATTGTTTTTAGAATTACTGTGTGATTTGCTGTTTCCAGAGTTTTAGCAAAGGGAGTTCCAAATATTTATTGAACGGTAAAAAAGGAACGCTCAGTGGTAGCAGTTCTACTAAAGGGAGATTGTAACTGATCTTCATGCCTTGTGCTGTGACTAACTCCTGTAACACTGGAGTAATATGATCGAACTTCTTGGTGTTAGTCACGATATGAACGGCAAAGGTTTGCACCATTTCAGCTTTTGTAGGTTTTCCTTGAGGGTACCAGCCCAAATCGTAGAACATGAGAATGACTTACTTATTATAAGCGAGTGTAGGATCATTAACAAAACAGGTCTAGAGAACAGGTGCCTAACCCTATACTTATCTGACACAAGGTAGACAAGAGAGAAGACGTGGAATCGGGTAACATGTTCGTTAAAGGTTAAATGAGAGTCCAGTACAATTCCTAAATCCTTAACGGACGAAACAGGAACGAGCGTTAGTCCAAGGAACGGTACACTCATATCACAAGTTTTGCTGACTTGCGTTAAAAGCTGCCTGGTTCCAAACACAATGAGTTTAGTCTTGCTGGGATTAAATCAGCAGTTGATTTGAGCAGCACAACTTGGCGACATGACGGAGGTCTTAAGTGATTCTTTCCAGAGAGGTCAACATCCTTGGACGAGAAAGACAGAAAAATCTTTGTATCATCCACATAAGATTCCACTCCACTAAACTCGACTGCGTTTGGGAGATCATGCATATATAGGTTAAACGAAGCAGGGCTCAAGATAGCTCTTGTGGCATGCCATATGTTACTGTGAGTTGATCCGGTAGTGAGGTACCGAGCCGTGTAGACTGCATACGGACAGTAAAGTAGCTTTCAAACCACTTGAGTACCTGGCTTGCCCTTCCTAGGGTGCGTAACGTTTGTAGTGGCATATGCTGTGGAACGCCTTGCTAAAATCGATCACTTCCATAGCTGTAAGTTTCTTGTGATCTATGGCCCTGAAAATTTAGTCAGAAATATGACCAGAAAGCTTCGGAGTCATGTTAGAATTTTAATATATCGAACGTGGTTTTTTTGGAAGGTCTCTTTAGACTTAATGCTAAGGAGTGAAACTTCAAACTGCTGTTAAAAAAGAGAGAAAAATTAATGGAGAGGGAAGAAAAGAAGCAAAATCCAAAACCCGGAGCAAAGTTTAGTGGCCAATCAACAAATTATCTTAAACGCGAACGGTCCCCTGGGTAATGACACGTAATGTGTATAAGTCATAATCATGTTCTTTTGTTGACAACCCGAGTTCTTTTATTTTCGCAGTTATTTGGAAGATAATAGCTATGTTGACAATTGGAATTGCGTACTATCCCCTCTTTGCCTGCATGGAGACCGACTACAAGGTTACTGGATTTACTATCGGCTTCTTGTACTCCGCTTTCTGGTTAGTAAATATTTTAAGTGTTATCTACTGGGAGAAGACCTTTGAAGTCCACATTTCTAGAGTTGATAATTACTAATAAATACGAACCCTTTTGAATCTCGAAATCAAGAGGGCCTCGATTCATACTGATCAAATCCTTCTTTTTTGCAATCGCCTAAAGCTTTCTCCGTGATCTTTCGTGGAGAAAAAACTGCTGTGAGATGAAATTGAAGTTCAAAGCACATTCGTTTTCTTTAGAAAACGGCCGAATATCAAGATTGTACAGTTTTTACCGTATTTCTAATCATAAAAACTTCATTTCAAATTATCTCGATAACGCTATTATAGATTTGGCTTAAACTTCATGAACGTCGAGGCGGCTGTCGGAGGAAAAAGCTCCCGTGAACAACTTAAGAAGAAGAGTTTCCAGTGCCGATAAATACGGTAGCGAGTAAATACGTAATTGCGTCATTTCGTTACCTTGAGAACTCCGATGACATTGTAACCCTGATCAAAACCAATTTTCATCTTTATCTAATGCAGCTGTGGTGGTAATTTTTCCAAATATTTGTTACTGGCGACGTAGTTTATGCTGAAACGTGGGAGGTGTTCACCCTGAAAAACCCTATCGAGACACCTAATCTCGAATGTCAATAGGGAAAATTGTAAACAGTGACGTTAGCAAAGATTAGTGTATGGCACAAAAGGTCCTTATTTGTTTGCAGAGGGGAGCATTTCAAGTGTTAGTGATAAGAATAATGCACCGCTGTTGTTTTTCTTTCGCATACAGGATTTTTATTGTTGCATACGAATTCATCCAGTGTCCACAATACACGTCTTGGGTAAGTCGGTATCATAGTTACTCTTTCTCATTTGAAACAAAGATCCGGACACACGACTCAGTGGTGGTTGTTTGCAATTTAGATGGGAAAATCAATCGGACCACAGCTTGGGAAAATGGTACGCAAAATTCAGGACTGTTAAATTTTGTCCCGGAGTCTCGTTTACCATTCGTACAAATCAGTTCCATTTAACGAAAAAACGACGGCGAAGGAATGAAACTGATGGCTTTGTACCAATGGAACTGCACGAATTTCCGTTTGGAATATTGCGTCCGGAAAAACAGGAAAACCTTTTCAGATGTTCCGCTATAACGACCAAAAAAGTCATGTTTCAACCATTGTGTATTAAAAGAGGAGCTCTCGCGCGCAGCGGAGCACCAAGAGTAAGAAAACTTGGTTATCATTACATACGAGAAATTTTGGTAGTGACTAGTAGTCACGTGACGTTACGTCCATACCATAGGCATACCCTCTTCCCTTGCCTTCCTGTTCCTCTGTCCCCTTGTTCCCATGTTCCCCCGTTCCCTTGTCCCATTGTTCCCCTGTTCCCCCGTTTCCTTATTCCCTTGTTTCCTCGTTTCTATATTGCTCTATTCCCCTGTTCCCTTCTACCCAATTTCCCCTGTTCCAAATACAACTCGAGGTTTTTTTCGCTTGGCCACTCGCATCGTGTGAAGCAGAAACATTTAAAAAGTCAATAAACTCACAACGGAAAGCGGACATGGTTTCTGTATCCGTGTTGTCTAACATGTTAAGCTTAGATTAACTGTCTTGTCCACAAATTTGGAATGTAGAAGAAGAGAAAGACGGAGAAACAATAAAGTAGGCGACAGGCTAGCGAAGCGAAAGAAAGTTAGAGCGAGAGATGAAAAACAAAGAAGACGAATTTTAGTTGCTAGAACAACGTGGAAATTTTAGCGGCGGTAAGAAAATGAGAAGTGCGAGCGGCCATAGCAAGGTAAAAATGAGCGTCAGTGAGGAAAAATTACAGGAACACAAGTAACAATTTTCTTTGGTGAGCACCTTAGACATTTTCTCCATAAAACGTGTAACTAGTAAGTTTCACGTTACGAAAAAATGTGCTGCACTTACACATGTCTTCTTTGCTCTCAAGAAGTGATGATTTTTTTTGCCGTTCTCGCTGCCGTTGCTGTTTAGAATTACACAATTTTACTCTTTGTTTGAGTAAATTATAACTATATCAATGAGAGAATCGCTTTTAGCCCAGGCTAAATCTATATACATATATTATTACGACAGTAATTATCGTAATCGCTTTGAAAATGTTGCAATGTTTAGAGCAAAAACCTGAGATAAAGTGTGTGGGCAAACAGGAGGAACCAAATCCTCCCCCTCTGGTACCTTGCATTCCCTGCTCCCGCTCTTTATTCTTGGCTTCGTGCTCTAAGCCTTTTTTCGGTTGCTAAGTATTAACAATTGCTACGTAGTTTCCCCTGTTTCTTCAACTTCCTGTCCTTTTAGAACTCCAACCTGTTGCCCTTCCTCTACCGCCTCCCGAACCCCTCCCACCACCTATTTTCCGGGCTCTCACCCCTTCCCTCGTCATAAAGGTGCACTGTAGTCGGAGGTGGAGGCGGATGACGTTCCAAATGTCCGTCTCCATGGGTCTCTATGCCCGTGTAATGGATTTCGCTGGTATGAGAATGCTGCGAATAACAGATTTTGCGGAGCAAAACATTGACAATAATCATTATATATAATGAAAGCAGGACAAAGCCCGACTTCTTCTTTAAACGAAACCGGAAATCAAGAATAATCTTGCCAGCATTTAGGCAAATTATTGTTTGTTTGTTTTTTCTCAAGGTATTTCCTGGAGATGGTTTGGCATCAGAGTTCCCCGTGTTAATTTGTTTGGCCTTTCTTCTTATAAAATACCTTGTGTTGCTTGTAACGACACTATACACTAGGTATCGGTTGATTGCATCCCCCAAGGTAAGTTCATTAATAAAGAGACATAAGACCAGGAATTTACCTCGCCATCACTTTTACTGCTGCGCGATCCTCTGAATGAAAAGATTTTTGTCAATCAAACGGTGCAAACAGGGCTGCTCCCCTGATTGTCCTCTTTTGAAACCGTTTTGGCAAAGCGCGGGAAGTTATTTACCGATTTCCCTTGTAACCATTTGTTTACCCCGTGATACAAATAATATTTAAGGTGGGTTGACTGGTATACGTCACCACTTTGAGCGTTAACTACGTTCGCATTAGCAAAGATGTCGGGAAAAGGTTAGCCTTTTTCGCTATATTAGCATATTTCGGAGATTTCTTTTGAGAGTAATCGGGGGTCGAGTCCTTTTGAATTCAAATTTAAGTTGTACACCTTTTTTTGATACTTGAAAACAGTACCTGTGAATAATGAGGACGCTCAGTTGTACACACAAAAGCAACTTGGTGCAGATTGGCGATACTTGGTGCAGACTAATGTAGTTTGGTCGAACTTGGTGCAGGTTGGTGCAAATTGGTGCAACTTGGTGAAGGCTGGTGCAACTTGGTCGAAATTTGTGCAGAACAGTTTGGTGCAACTTAGTGCAGTTTGGTGCAACCTGGTGTAGTTTGGTGCAATTTGTTGCAGGTGCAACTTGGTGCAATTTGGTGCGTTTTGGTGCATTTTGGTGAAGTTTGGTGCAACTTGGTGCAGGTTGGTGCAACTTGGTGAAGTTGGTACAACTTAGTGCAGGTTGGTGAAGTTTGGTGCAACTTGGTGCAGGTTGGTGCCACTTGGTGCAGTTTGGTGCAACTTGGTGCAAGTTGGTGCAACTCGGTGCAGGTTGGTGCAACTTTGATGCAGATTGGTACACTTTGGTGCAACTTGGTGCAGGTTGGTGAAGTTTAGTGCAATTTGGTGCAGTTTGATTCAACTTGGTGGAGATTGGTGCAACTTGTTGCAGGTTGTCGTCACTTGATACAGATTGGTGCACTTTGGAACAACTTAGTGTAGGTTAGTGCAACTTGGTGCATACTGGTGCAATTTAGCGCAGATTGATGCAACTTTTTGTAGATTGGTTCGGTTTGGTGCAGATTGGAGCAGCTTGGTGCAGTTTGGTGCAGATTGGTTCAACTTGGTGTGGTTTGGTGCAATTTTGTGCGGTTTGGTTCAACTTGGCGCAGTTTGGTGCAACTTTGTGCAGTTTGGTGGAACTTGGTGCAGTTTGGTGCAACTTGGTGCAGGTTGGTGAAGTTTGGTTCAACTTGGTGCAGTCTGGTGGAACTTCGTGGAGATTGGTGCAACTTGGTGCAGTTTTGTTCAACTTGATGCAGATTGGTTTAACTTGGTGCAGTTTGGTGCATTTGGTGCAACTTGGTGCAGTTTGGGAAAACTTGGTTCAGTTTAGTGCAATTGGTGAAGATCGGTGCAGTTTGGTGCAGTGTGGTGCAACTTGGTGCAGATACCTGCAGTTTGGTTCAACTTAGCGCAGATTGGAGGAGTTTGGTGTGACTTGGTGCAGAGTGGTACAGTTTAGTGCGGATTGGTGCAACTTGGTGGAGATTGGTGGAACTTGTTGCAGACTGGTGAATTTTCGTGCACTTTGGTGCTTTGCATTATTTTCACGGCTTAACCACTCAACAAGCGATTTTTTCAAGAACAGTGTCCTATTCCCCTTTAAATATCCCTCCTCTTTGTATGAAAGGTTTAGGCACGGTTCAGTTGCGGAACGTTTCACGAGCCGAACCTCATACATTGAAATAAGTGCATGAAAAGTTCGGCGTCTGAATCAATTTGGAACGGATGTTTCAGTTTGGAACGGCTCAGCCGTTCTTTTCGCCTAGCCCGGCTGGAAATTTCGCCTTTGGAGTGACTTTGGAACGGCTTTGATTCAGACGCCGAACTTTTCATTTACCGAACCTAAAGCATACATTATTACAACGCATTTTGTAAGCTGTTTGACCGAAATGAGCATTTTTCGCCTTTTGAACTTAGTTCAGCTGCAGTTAAGATCGGCGTCTGAAACAATTTGGATAATTTGGGCCAGCCTTGATTCGAACTAGGTTCAGGTCATGAAAAGTTCGGCGTCTGAACCGGGCCTAACACTCGACCTTACTTTGAAAGGGAGGTCTTGTTGGAGCTGCGAAATAATAAACCTATCGTTAATTCAGCTTTTTTCGGAAGAAAAAAGCCTGCATGGGGTGCAATGCCATTAATGTTTCTTAACCTTTTTCAGGATGAAGAAAACGAGTGGATGGCCTTTTACAAGTACAAATACGTCCTGAAACTTCTCGAGCCAGTACCAAAAGAGTAGGAAAACATATTTATGTTTTAACGAAACTTTACTCTGCTAGAGACAGACCTTAAGTCGCTCTGAACTGGTGTGACCAATTAACTGATTTTCCTCATCCGCTCAGATAGTCTTGTGGGGAGTTATTTGTGACCCTGATTACAGTTTTAAAATTGATTGAACAAACTGTCATGCGATCCTGTTACAAACCTAGTAAAAATATTATCCAAAGCTCCATTGGAACGAAAGACGCCTAAAGGGTGACGCATTCGGAAGCGAAGCTTTCCAAGCGAGGCACGTACTGTAAACCGATCTAGGTCTGCGCTACCACCGAGCAGTCAGTGCAGGGTTGTCACCAAGTCCAGGAGCCGGGGATTTCCCCGGGTAGTCGGAGCATGACCCCCGACTACTTTCGTCGCTTAATTTAACCAAAAGAGCACCAGAAAACTCTACATTAAAAAGGAAACAAGCATTGAAAATTAATTTTTAATTATAGCTGACACCTTTAAAACACACAAAACTAAATGCAACTTTCATCTGCAGCTGGTTTAAGTAGTTTTGAAATACTCACGAGCAAAAACTAAGAAATGACGGAAAAAGACATCAGACTTGGGTTTGATACTAGTACACAAGCGCGAAAACTCTTCGTTCGCGAAATGTCGGTTTCAATCGTTATGTCGGCTTTGTGTTGAACATGTCCAAAAAGCGGCAAAGGAATCTGTTGGACTCTTTTTTCACCGTTAGCCAATTATCCAGTTTATCAAATTCAAGGTATGTAGATCTCCATGTTTGCGTTTCAGGGTTCATTGAATTACTGTGAATGGACGGTCATTCGGATTCTTTTTCACCCTACTCTGGTTGGTCTCGTTATATTGTTTGGGTAAATGAAGAAAATTATCCGTTGATCCAAACGTGTGGCAAAAACCAAGTCCACGATTTAGATCAGCACCTCACCTGCTCCATGCCCCCGGATAGGAAACAGTCAGTTGAAGATAAAATTAAAACTGAATTTGCAAAGTTGAAGTGTTACTTGCTCACATGGAAGGAAGAGATTGCTAAAGAATGCTATTCATCTAATGTTCCCTGTAAAGCTACCGCTACTGAATGGAACCTGCAGCGAATTTTTACTTCTACCCTCAGCTCAGTAATGTGACTGAGATAATGCTTTCAACTCCAGTTTCAAATTCCTGGCCTGAGAGGGGTGCAACCTGTGTGAAATGGATTAAGACGAGGTGCAGATCAAAATTATAAAATGACATATTGAAAGCACTGCCGCAATAAAAGGGCCAGCCCCTGGCACAAATGCTGCCGAATCGCTAACCGAAGACGCAGTGAAGACCTAGACAGCTACAAAGTGTAGGAGAAGACTCCTCTGAGGACAAGGAAATGTGGCAGCTTGTTCCAACGGTCAATCTCATCCGGTCCTGATAGACGCAGAAGTGCAAACAGATCCACGCGATGAACGATCTGAGCCGATGTCCGTTGCTATTACAGAAGAAGTAGAGTCCAAAGCGTTAAATCACCGTGACGCTGATGTTGATGAGGATGAGGATTATAAAAAATGATGAAGGGTTTGAAGATGAAGACTATGAGTGATTGCTGTTTTTAATAAATTGTCATTAGTCAGTGACCAGATTTACATTTAGCATTAGGTATCGAGTCTATAAAATAACCCCCGGTTAACGGAAAATGTTCGATCATTGTCTGCGGGTCACCCATCCTCTCAGTTCTACTTTCAAGAAGTTAAATACAAAAGGGAAGTTAAGCATCAGCATTATTATTATTGTATTCTTCTACTTCTGTCTCGTTTTGAAATCTCAGCGTCGTCTATAAAGTATTCGCCCCGTATTTCTAATGCTTTTCCGTTGGTCAGTTTCCTCGTATGTTAACTGATGTTTTTTAACTCCTTTTTCGTTCCGATATTTGAGACCACTAAAGTTACCAGTTGTGCAGTTTTGTTTTGCCATATTTTATCCCCCGATTTTTCGTACGTTACGTTTGTTTTTGCGTTATCATACTTACTTTTCAACAAACCAAATTAACGTTATGTTTATATGATGCCTTTTCGCACATTCATCTTCCTCTTACGCGGTGAAACTCTTGTCTTCTTGCCGCTTCTCCGTGGGTTTATTCATCTGTAATGTCAGTTTTACCTTTGTTTTCCGTGAGTTGTTTCGTTCTTAGGCATAAGAATTTTAAAATTGACTTTACAGCGCATGTTTGCACCATATAAGGATTGCCCTTTCGACATTTTTAACATTTATAAAGTATTGTTGTGAGTTAACACTTCACTGGCCAGCATGCGCCTGTCCGCGTGAAGATAAGTTTGCGTGGATAACGTGACCGGCGCCTACCTGTTAGTTTTTTCAGCCTCTGAGCTAACATGTATTACCATTTGGCGGCCATTAAAAAACCCTCTCCAACCTGCTTTTACGTAAAGTGAAAACTTATTATTTGAGTGTCTCAGAATGTTGTACTTTTCTTTAATAAAGACGTGATCATCATAAACCGCTAATGATAGCTCTCCTCTTGATGAAGGGGGGGAGCCTCCATGACCGCTTGCGACTTCCCAGGCTACTAACAACAAATATCTGGCAACTTGAAATCTTAGTGACATCCCTGCAGTGGATAAAAAAAGCACTTTATATGAGTATCAATGTATTTAGCGCGAAAGAACTAATTAGGGCACTATTCTTACGTCTCCAACTAGAGACGGGACACCAGTTTACGTGGTCATCTGAGCCACGCAAAGGTCAAGCCGCTTGCAGTGCAAAGAGGGTGACCTCATTTCTTAGTTATTTTCAGACCCTGAGTATTGGTTCTGCCCTGGGAATGGGAATCAAATATTTAAAAAGGTTGGTAACAGGATCGCATGACGGTTTTATTGGTCCAGTTCAAATTCAATTCTACAGTTAAGAAGGGCGAATCTCAATGTATCAACGCAATCGAGGTCGCAAATGACTCCTCTGCGCCCTGTGGACAAATCTCGCCCTCGAGTTTTACAGGAGTAACCTCCAGGTAAACAAACTGGTTCCATATTGTTCAGTGTATGAATAAATGTGTGCTTGTGATAGCTAAGACAACTGTGAGCTTACATGCTGGTGGAATTTGTTTTCGACAATAGAAGCAGGCTTTAACGTTTAGCCCTATCGATAACAACCTAGCCTGCTCTAACCGTTCAGATGGTGGAACGATGAAAGAGCAAAAAGCTAGGGCAATAGGTATTTGTATAACAGACCTTTATTCCTTTTCTTACTGATTACGTGTTTCCTTTGTTTTTATATTTAGACACAGAACTTCGACGTCTTTTAAGGAAAGAATGAGAGGAAAAATTTATAAATGGAAACCAGGTAATTCGCGAGTAATAATAGGTAAGTAAAAAGTTAAAAAAAGACGAGGGTGGTAGGCATGGGTCGCACTTGATGAATTTTTGGGAGAATTTGTTGACCTTGCGGTAGAAATCTGTCATCGGTGGACAAGTGCGACTTGTGCGACCCCAAGTTTTCTGGTTGGAATAAGCTTTGAAAATCGGCAAAAACATCAAAGACGACGTAGTGCTTGGCTGAGGCAGGCAGATTTTGGAAAAATCGAGGTGAACAATAGGAATCACGGAGGTAACTGTCAGCGCTTTTCAGTGAAAAGTGATCAATTTGAAACACGATCAATTTGAAATAAACGCGGCCGAATTTTTAGACCTTCGCGCTTTCGCGGACGGTTGAGGCTACTACTACCCTTCGCCATTTTAAGGTTCTTTTTCGAAAACTCTCTACAGGCGAGGACTTCATACGCGTATAATCCTTCGCCAGTTTAAGGTTATTAAGGGGAAACCAGTTTTGCAGGCGTACCAGTTCCCGTCTACACAGGCAAGCACTTCACAGGCTTGTTATTCTCCGAGCCAAATGCATTCCAGCTCTTTGTCTTCTTTATCTGTCCCATCCTCCCGAAACTGGAAATAGACGAAAACAATACTTCGACAAATGGTCAGACGAAGAAGAGAAAATGTTTTCTGGTATCTGACCTTCTTCAGTTCTCAATGTGGCAAAGACAATTAACTCCCACTAATGCGACCCTCTTCGGTTGGACTAAAAGTTTTCTTTTTCGGTTGCGGTTTGGAAGTTTCGTGCTTTTTTAGCCGGCAAAGATGAAGACGTTCCCCAAAGGCGTCCCATGCCTTACTGTTGCTATCACTATCAGGATGGTAAATGTGTTACGGGCACACACGCTCGCCAGCGGCAATTGAACCACTCCGTTGTTCTTGACAAAATAAAATACGCATAATAAATTAACTTCACTAACAAAAGTCAGCCCAGTGCTCCACTTGTGAACAGTTTAGGTTGTTTGGTTGAAATCATAACTAGTTAAACGAATCGACTAGTTTCAGGAGGGCATGTCTGGGCAAACTTTCTACGTGCAAATGGGTTCAATACAATGCGTTCGACCTAGTTAGCTAGTTGTAGGATTTCCTGGTCTTATGGCATAGATGCATGGCTATAAATGACGGACACCTTCCTAAATGTGCATAACTATTCAGTATTTTTCTCAAAGTCGTTTCTGCACGGCGAGAGAAATAACGCGTCTTTCCCCAGTCTCACTCTTCGTTTCCACCCTCACACCATGCAGATCTCCCATCTGAACGCTCGCACGCGCGCACGTTCGTAACCAAGGAAAACTACGGGCTGTTTTGCGGTCTAATTGCTTTCAGCTTCATTCAGTAATTGCTAAAATACTTCCTTCGATGTCGTCGCGGGGATTATTCATCTATATTGATTATTGTTAATTACATTAACCTGATAGTGATATTTAATGTTGATGTTGGTGGTGATGATAATGACCAATGAAAAAACTCTTCTTCACTCTCTCGTCTGTTGTAGAGTTCAAGTATTCAACTCGCGTTGTTTGCACCTACTTTATCAGCTTTGTGGGAATTTATGAGGTCAGTTTATGATTGTTTTCATAATGAGACACAGTACAATACAATTCAATACGTGCAGTGTTAATATTTATCACACATTTGCGCTTTTTCTCAAAGATCCAACGCGCTATTGCTAATTACACCAAGTTATTTTATTCGAAAGAGGTTTAAAACGATAAAATTATATGTAATGCATACGAAAAAAAAAACAACTCTTTATTAAGTCTAGAAAATGGTAACGTTCCCTTCAAATCTTTCTGATCGTACACATTTCGTCAAGATAAATTGGACTTCATCTGATCATCACACTTTCCAGCTTGGTGTTCCTCAAGGATCGCCCTTCGGACGGTTATTAAATTTCCTTAATTATCTACACTGGGTGACATTGCCTGGTCACTGGTTTGCGTTACTTTTAGGGAATCTTCTCCTCTTCCTTTTGATAGAAATTTTTCCAGAAGGGTTGTAAGCTTCATCATGTACATGGCAGTCGACTGAAGATCTTCAAAAAGACAGCATTGTATAGGAAACATGCTGTTATATGAATCAGAAACGTAGACAATCAAACAGGATCTTAGAAACAACTACTTATGACAATGCACACCAAAAGTTGGAGAGATTATCTTTCAAGGGAGAACATCGATTAAGAACCGTCTTTCCTTAGTAAAACACTTTGACTGAGACGAATCCGGTCAAAGATCACACGGGGAGTTGCCCACTCTCTCTTGTCATGTCCTGTAAAGACTAAAGTAACCACGCCTGAAATGCGGAAGAAGACCCCTGTCGCATCGATATATGTAGAAATTAGTGTAGTCGTGATCAATCATGATCTTTGGAGTGTCATGTCCAAAAGTATTCTCGGCCGCGGCCTAAGAAAGTAGTAGTTACATTAATCCCCCAATGTCAGGTCACATTGACGACAAACAAGTCCTACTTTGTTAGTTTGTTAACCAGTCGAAAACGAGAACATTTGCTTAATTTCAAAGTGTCTCGCGCCATGTAAGGGAATCTAAGCCAATCTTGGATTTCGGATTCCAGTCCTTGTCAATGGAACGTGGATTCTGGATTCCAATCGTTAGTAGGATTCCGGATTCCTCGAGCTGTATCCTGAATTCAAATCCCAGATTCTGGATTCCACAAGCAAAATTTTCCCGGATTACAGATCCCACAAGCAAAAATTTACTTGATTCCGGAATACAAATTCCCTTACATGGGGGTGAAGTGTCGGTTGCCACCGTTGAGTTCGTTACACTATGCCGTAAAAAAGCGTCGGTGAACAAAAGATTAACCTTGTCATATTTGATATCTTTTTTTGTTTATTAATGCCGATACTGTCGGATTAATAACTCACTTTTTAATACGCTCCTCTTTCAGATTCTTATCTTTGATTTTATCGTGGGTGGGTTCTTCTATAAGCTGCGTCAGGAGATCCCTGACAACGATCTTGTTCAGGCGAAACTAGTAAGGCAGTGGCTTTTGATTCTATCAGGTATAAGTATATTATAGTATGAGTATAACGCTCAAGAGTCCTATTATCTTGGTAACACTTCTTCACTCTAATTGTACTACTAAAATTGCTGAAGAACTCCCGCCCCGGACATACAAGCCAATTTGTACCACCCATTTTGTACAGTGGAGTGAAGAGCATTGATAGTCTGCGTTGTGGTTTTCTTGGATAGAGCGCTACTATCGAACAAGGAAGTGCAGTGATTCAACCTCTGACTAGAATTGCATGTAAAACATATTGCGGCCTTTTCGTGTTTCTCGTGTTTTTCGTTTTTCCAAAGGAGCAAAAAAGCTGAGGTTTTACTGTAGAATTGTTCAGTCTCATGCAACCACGACTCACAACGTTACGGTGCCTTTCTGGCACTCCGGCTACGTTTGTCAATGAGTCCGTGATGAATGTTTATGTGTGTCTGTTCACGACTTGATGGTAAGGACTTGTTGTTGTTGATTTCTATTTTGTGTGTGGCCTTATTCTCGATCTTCTACCCCCTCTTTCCTGCTAGTAGCTTAAGTTAGAAATAACGAATATATGAATTTCATATTTTTGAACTGCGTGTTGTAAAAAAATCGCAGAGAAGATCATCACAGTAGTGAAATACGCAAGTTATGTAGCTGCGAAAAGAAAGCCTGAGAAAATTGAGGCTTGACGGGATTCGAACCCTGACCTCTGCGATGGGGATGCAGCGCTCTAACCAATTGAGCTAGCAAGAAACTGGGAGCTGGTCACTTGAATGGTTCGAAATATACCCGGAAAAGGTGAAGATGAAATATGAGTATATGGAGTACCAGACAGTTAGATATGTAATTTATTGTGATGTTTTAATGCCTTGACAGTGTCCATATTCGTGTCTGTTGTTATCACTGCAATCTACATGATAGCACTTGTGGCAAATATGCTCTCCTGGTACAGGTAAGCAAGTTTTTTTTTGCCCTGGTGGCGTTACATTAATTCTCTGGAAGGGTAGCTGAGGGCTTTTTGTAAGGGGTGAATAGCAGTCAAGCAAGGAACTCCTAACATCTTGCAGCTTGGGTTGCTTGCTTTCTCATTGCGCGTCGTGAAAAGTGAAGACCTGGGGAATATTTCTGGGAATTCGTGGTGTTGGTGTGGTGCCCGGTTCTAAAAATCCTAACCCTATTTCAGACCAAAAAATTGTCATTTTCCATACCTATTTTTAAAATCCATACCCGTTTTCAGACCTGGCGTAGGCAAAAATTATGTTATCATTACTTAGATTAGAACGCCACTAAAAAATTTTCTTTAAGTCCATTTCGAATTCGCGTATTACTCTTTCTTTCTTATCCATTCTTCTTCTTTATAATTTGTCGGCCCCATACAAGAGCGCCCGATATAAAAAATGATTATAGTTTGTGTAACGACTTCCAATTTGCACTTGTCGTGTTGGTCAATAAAACATGATACAAGTTTTCTGCGACGTTTGGGCGCGGTGTTCTTGACAACATTTTTCACATAAAACCCTTGAAACGAAAGAAAGTTTTCAAGAAAAGTCCAATCCCCACCGGATTTTCATGTTTTTTACTCTAATGTGGCCGCTGTGGGATCATTTAAAGTACCAGTATTTCTTTAAAATTCTAATGCAAATTTGTGACTCTTAAATCAATGAATATTTTTACAAGTGACAGGTTCGCATATGCACTCCCTCAAGCATTACACAAAACAAAAACGAACGGATAGAAACAGCAAAGAGGTTAATCCAGCTAAAAAAATTCGAGTATATCATAACCACAATGGCTGTGCAAAATGTTTGGGGGAAAACAAGGTGCCTTATGGTATATGTGAAAATGGTGAATATTTGTTAAACGGTAGCATTGCCATTGCTGTAAAGAATTTCTGGTAAAACCCTTCGAATCGTCAGCAACCTTTCTCTTTATCTAGAATTAAAAAACGGTCAAATCAATCACAGAGACAAGCCCTGGTAACAAAAAACCTTGGAATTTTCCGGAATTCCTTTCAACAGTGCTGCTTACCATGGTAAATTACTGTTTAACGGAAATTCACTTTATTCGTGAATTAATGTAACGTATGTTCTGTTCCGTCTTCAGAGGGCACTTACTACGCCTCCAGCGAGGTGAAAAGCAGTTTTTGCCAACTGACATTTTCAACCGTAATCCCGATTCCATCACGGTAAGAGGCAATGGTCGGGCTGCTATTGATTTCTAGCGAAGCACTTTTAGTTGGGTAATAAATACCTGCAAAATTTTCGCTATTACGTGGCCGTAGGGAAACCACTGCACTTACCAAGACATTGGACAATGATGAAATGATATAAAGGTTTTGTCATTGGATGATGATGATAGCCTGCAGGTGCACAGAGGCTGGGATAAAGAATAGCTATGATAGAAAGTAGGTGTAATATACAAATCACAAAACTACAGCACGAAACGAACCATGTGCTAGTTCTCCATCTTTAATGCACTGCGCATGTGCAAAAAACAAGGAGCCTGGAACCTAATATATTACAATCCTCCGAGCAAAGGAGTTGGTTATCATAACAACAACGAATAATAAAACGCAAGTGTAACAGATAAACAATGTTTAGCGTTCGTCATCTACTTAAAGAATGTTCACATTTCATATATGAGTCTGCGTGGTGGTCTCCTCCTCCAGCTGGTGCACTGGAGACTCCAAAAGGCAGTCGTTTGTAACGGTACAAACCCTTATGAGTGGTAAGTACTTCTGCGAGTCTTCGTCCAGCTCGACCTGCTGATAGGCGTGAGATAAATCAATCTTGCTAAATACTTGTAGCCCAGCTAACGTTGCAAACAAATCTTCTGTACTAGGCAAAGGGTACTGGTCCACATCGGCTCACTGGTTTACTGTCATTTTGTAGTCGCCACACACACTCAGTGAACTATATTTCTTGGGAACCAACACCACTGGGGCAGCCCAATTACTTTGAGTTACTTTGTTGAGAATCCTTTTCTCCATGAGCGACCACCAGAGGTAGTTGCATTTCCTGGGTCTGATACTTCACAGCGACTTGAAAATCCCCCAACAAGGGTATAACTCACCAGAATAGGTTTTCAAGTGGAACTGCGTTGGCTGCAATTTGAGATGCTTACTTAAACAACTTCTTATACTCCACCTCAGAGACAATGGCCCCCCTGATCCCGTGTCGATTTCCATGCTGACTGGTTTACCCTCCAACAATAACTGAACCTGAAACCCTGACCCACCATGTCCTTTAGACTTGAGAGTATACATTTCCAGTCCAGACTGCTCTTCAGTAGTACTCATAGTGAAGTCAACCTCCAAATAACGCGTGGATTGTATCTTCCCTTTCTTCTCGCACATCTTAGCAAGGTGACCCTTATTGTGACACTTGTAACCTTGTACCGACCTGACCCAGCACCCTGATGGAAAATGCTTTCCATCATAACGATAACAACTCACGGCTTCCCCAGCACAATGCCTTAAACTGGCATATTTGCCGACCTTATTGACGGCTCACACCATGGATTGTGCTGTTTTAAACGCTTTCTAGAATTCAAGTCTCTCTCTGCCAACAACTTCTTCTGAATTTCCACGCTTTTCAATCCGCAAACGAGGCGGTCCCATGACGCGTCTTCGAAAAAAGTTCCAAACGCACAATGCAGCGCCAGTCGCTTCAACTCAACAACAAACTGAGCGACCGTTTCACTCTCATACTGGTTCCGACTATGAAATTTAAAACGTTCTGCGGTCAAAATACGTTTAGGCAAGTGATGTGAAATCAAAAGCTCTTTCAACGCAACAAAAGACTTCTCTTTCGGACGTTCAGGGGCTAGCAAATTCCCTAGCATGCCATATACATCTGGCAATATCTCTTTTTCCGTTGATATATTCTGCTACTTGCCCCACTAGCGCCATCCTCATCGCCAAATGTAATATTCAGATTTCGCGGACGTAGAAAAATCTCTTAAAGCTGCCTGGGTAAATCGCTATTGTTCATCGGATGGTCATCATTGGTGTGCGCTTCTTGACTCTCATCTTGAAAAATTCGGAGGCTCTTTTTTGTTTCAGTGTAATTACGATTTGAAATTCTTAGATCTAGAAGGTCTCCCCCTCTTTTATAGGAACATTTTAACGGTCTGGCAGATCCTTCATTCCAAGGTACCCCTTAGTGTTAATGAAATTAAAGAGGAAATACTTTGGAATAATCGCTTTATTAAGATCGGCGGAAAAACGGTTTTTTATAAAGCATGGGTTAGTAAAGGCATTTTAAGCATCAAAGATATCCTCAATGCTCACGATAACTTCCTATCTTTCCAAGAGCTTAAAGATACTTTTCACATTCGCGGTACCTTTCTTGATTAGGGTTGTCTTCTGGCCGCGATTCCTAAAGATTGGAAAAATGCTATCTTACATGGCAATCAGGAACACACCAACGAACCAAAGGTGACACAACTAGCCGTTGGAAATGTTTCAGCAAAATATGCTCGACTAACGTTTGCTGAGAAATCTTTCTGCCCTCCATTAACTGAATCCTATTTAAGAGAACAAACATTCACTCCTAGTGCCGTATATGAGCTTCCATTCAAAATCACCATTGAAAATAAGCTAAGAAGTTTTCAGTTCAAACTCATCCACAATATTCTTCCGACCAACCAACGCCTTTGGAAAATGAATGTTAATTCTTCGCCAAAATGCGAACAATGTGATGCTCCTTGTGAAACTATTAGCCATATGTTTTACGAGTGTCCTGCGGTAAAAAGTTTTTGGGAAAAAGTCATAGATTGGTGGAATGGTAAACGTTCTGAAAACATAAATCCCAATCCAACGGAAGTTCTTTATGGATACAAACCTGAATCTAACGGCTTTCATACTTTTAACCATTATCTCTTAATTGCTAGATATTACGTTTACTTAGCTAGAAACAAGTTTGAGACCCCAGAGCTGGAAGTTTTCATTGCTCTCCTGGAAATTAAAATCCAGTGCGAAAGAGAAATTGCAATAACAAAAGGAAATCTTAACAAATACAGAAATAAGTGGACCACGCTGTGCATTTCTGATTAGTGTTGGATTTATAGTAATTTAGCAAACATTTTTCTATTTGTTCTGCTTGTTGTCGTTAATCTGTTGAACCTTCGTATTTCGCTTTATTTTGCTTGTTTGTTTATTTATTTATTTATTTATTTTACTGTTTCGCCTCCCTTTTATTTGCCGCCCTGTTATTGTAAAGTTTATTGTAATGTTATGTTAAATGATGTTTAATAAATATATTATTTAAAAAATTAAAAAAAATAAAAAATAATAAAATATTCAGGTCATAAAACTACAGCACGAAAACGAACCATGTGCTAGTCCTCCATATATAATGTACTGCGGATGTGCAAAATACAGGGGGCCTGGAACCTGATATATTAGAGTTGGTAACATTGGGAACCCTCCAAGCACAATGTAAGCAGAACGGCCAAAACAAGAAGAAAGATAACATGGACATAAAGTATGGGGTGCTGTGGTGTTAGTAAGTAAGCGTTAATACCAAAAACGTCAGACTCCGATTGAAAGTTAAAGTGTCTCCTTTTTAATAAACACAGAACCACAAAGGAGAGGAACTCTTGCCATGCCTTAGACGTTCGGCGATTGTAGAGGTGTAAAACTGGGTCAAATTCTGTTAGGAGCTAGCGCAACATTTTGACGACAAATATTGACTGTTTTTCTGTTCTGATTTTAGGTCGCTACGCTTAAATACTCTGGTTTTCAGGTGGCGTACTTATCCTGGGGTGAGTTCTATTTATGTCTCTATTTATACACCACTTTCACATTGCCCATAATGCACCGCCTGTTACTCCCCCGGAAATTTTGCGTAAGTATTGCTTATCAATTTCTCTTGTGTATAACAATCGTCCCAAAAGAAGGCGGGAGGGCAGGGGGTCAAGATGTATTATATTGGCAAGGTGAAAGAAGCGAATTGATGAGAGATGAGACAAATTAATGGGAAGCATATATTGAGATCGTATATATGTACACCTTTCCAAACTCCAAATGGAAATTAATTCAGTTAATAAGTTGTTAAACTGCAGAATTGGTTGTCCATGTTGTCCTGGTCTTGCGAGTTGTCCCAGTTCGTCCAGTTGTCCCAGTTCGTCCAGTTGTCCCAGTTTTCCCACTTGTCTCAGTTGTCTTGCTTGTCCCACTTGGCCCAGTCGTCCCGGTTGCCCCAGTTGTCCTGGTTGTCCCAGTTGTTCCGGTTGTCCTTGTTGTTCCGTGCTTCCCAGTTGTCCTAGTTGACCCATTTTTACCGGTGACCGTGGTTGTCCCGGTCCTGCCAGTTGTCCCGGTTGTCCTGGTTGTACCAGTTGTCCTTGTTGTCGTCGTTGTTTCAGTTGTCCCGGTCTTCCCAGTTGTCCCGGGTGTTCCAGTTGCCCTGGTTGTCATGGTTGTGCCAGTTGTTGTGGTCATCCATTTTGTCCCGGTTGTCGCTGATTTTCCGGTTGTACAGGTTGTCCAGGTTGTTCCGGTGGTTCCAGTTGTCCTAGTCGTCCTGATTTTTATCCCAGTTGTCTGGATTGTAACTGTTGTCCCAGTGTTTCCAGTTTTTGCAGTTGTCTCGGTTGTCCCAGTTGTCCTGCTTGACCCCGTCGTCCCTGTTTTCCCAGTTGTCCTAGTTGTCCCTTTTGTCCCGGTCTTCTGAGTTGTCCCGGTTGTTTCCGTCGTCCAGATTGTCCCGGGTGTCCTTGTTGTCCACGTGGTCTGGTAGTTCCAAGTGTTGAGGTTGTCCCAGCTGTTCCAGTTGTCCTGATTGTCAAGGTTGTTTCAGGTGACCTTCTTGTCCCGGTTGTTCCGGTTGTCATGATTGTCCCAGTTGTCCCGGTTGTGCCAGTTGTCCTGGTTGTGACCATTGTCCCGGTTGTCTCGGTTGCCCCAGTTGTTCTGGTTGTCCAGGTAGTCACAGTTGTCCCAGTTGTTCCAGTTGTCCTGGTTGTCCCGTTTGTCTTAGTTGTCCTGGTTGTCTGGGTAGTTCCAGTTACCCTGGTTGTCCCGGGTGTCCCGGTCATCCCAGTTGTCCCTGTTGCTTGGATGTTACGGTTATTCCAGTTGTCCTGGATATCCAGGTTGTTTCAGTTGTCCCGATTGTCCAGGACAACCTAATGTTATGAACTGAGTCAAATTTAGAAGGATTTGTATGGAGTCATCGGAGTATAACTGGGTTAATATCTTAGAGACAATTTGCCCCGAAATGCTAGTTTTTGGCAAGTAGGCCTGTTGGATATTGTTCTTTCAGAATATTCTGACAAATCCCATAATATCACAAATTTATGACATCACACTTTAGAACTCTATGGTTTTGCCTTCGTTTGTTAACGTCGATACAGATCTCCAGGTACTTTTTGTCTAGTACCTAATATGAGGCGGAATATTGGAAGGTTTAGAAAGAAGGTATTTTCCTTTAATCCTTCCTTGTTAAACTTAGTTTTGATATTTTTGTAATGTACATTTTTGCCCTACTGGCTTTCTCTATCTTTTCATTCAGTCGATCTTCTATTATCAAGTTGAAGTGCCATATCACTTTCTAGTATACTGTGTTTACAGGTTTTGGTTTTGTAAATTGGTACATCTGAGTTGACTGTAACCAAACGTTGCAAGCCAAAGGTACTTCTCTCTATCTTTCCCGATTACGTTATCTTATTTATTTTTAACTTCAAGGAGCAACAATATGCACTTTGACGTTATCAGTAGTGGGATTCGTGGTTGGACAGCAGATTATTTTACCAATGGTTGATGGAACTTTTGACTCGTTCGTTTGGACTAAGTTAAAAAATCTCTGGTAAGTTAAGAACGGTTCTTATTTAGTAAGAGACGTATGGTGTAGTAGGAGTATATTGTGTATTGGTAAAATCCAACTAGTGGTGTATTATCAATCCTGCGTTCTGATTGGTTGAGCTACTACTAGGCTATATGTTATAGCCCACTAGTCGCGAAAACCGCCGGCCTTGAAAACCAAAACAGTGGCGGCTGAATCGCGTTTTGATAGCTAAAGTTGTTTTGTCTCGATATTTTTGACCAACTAGTTGGATTTTACTAAAACAATTATTTCTCTCGCGTTCATAGGCTCGGAGTCAATAGCCCATTCGGGCTCAAGGAATAATGGTTAATTAGTTTATTAGTGAAAATAGAGAATAACCACTTTGAATGATGTGCATAGTTTATGCGAATGTCTTTTAGGATTTTAGCTGATTTTCGTGGTTTTTTACAAAGACCAAAGTATTTTTCCTCCGTGGCAGACGCAGCGAGCAGATCACTCACTTGGTGTGGTAGACTGTCTACTCTTCGACCCTGTCTAACAAACTCCATAACATTTGCATTTTTCATTCACAGAAGACCTTTTCTCTAGTTTCTGTGAAGTCCCAATTCGAGGTGTGTTTTTTTTTGCGTTATGAATAACTGAGTCTTATTTAATATGTCTTTCAGGCCCGCTATATTAATTTCTCTAGCCTTTTTTGCGGTCCAGTTACTCTTGGCGAAGTATGTGTTTTTGATAGACAGGAATGCAACGCTAGCACTGGATAACAGGTACAGCAATTAATCATCAAAATATCGATCAGTCAATCAGTCGTAATAAGTCAGCAGTCAGGCAAAAGCCAGCTATGATAGCAGTTGCTGAAAGAAAAGTATATAGGTTAACCGGTAATAAGTCGGTTAGAAAACAATAATTTTTAAAACTTGTTTTTTGTTGTATTTTCTGTTTTTGTAAATCAATTTCTTTGGAGCCTTCTATACTTACAATTTTTGGAAATGGACCCATTGTTGTGAGTCTATCCCGTTATGGCTCCTTTTCTTTCTTCTTTTAAAGTACTATTTACAATATGAGTTTTTGCTTACGTTGGGTAAACGCAGTGGTAACAGAGCCTTTTTTCCCCAACAGGCGGTTGTTTCATGTCTGCACTTTTTTTCTCTTTTTCTTCAACATTTTTCTGGGAGTGTTCTCCTGTTTGAAGCGTATTATCATCGGTGCTGTTCTTGGCGTCATGTTTCTTGGAAGGACTCAAAAAAGTGTCATACCACGTGACTTTGAACTCAAGGATCCAGGTTTGAGTGATAGGCCAATCTTGTGCACATTATTTGGCTCATTAACATACCCTTACCTTATCAATCTCTCATCGCATCTCTGAATATTGAAAGAACATAACAATACCGGTCATTTCTGATAAGTTCAGGCTGATATGCCGAATGGATTCGGAGAATTCTATTTTTAAAACTCAATATTCTACCAGGAATGCATGAGCTTATTAACTTTTTAGACAACCGGCAATTTCGCATTTTTTGATAGCTGCTAATTCCTGAACACTGCTTACAAACAGCTAAAAATCCACAATTTGCTCATTGAAAGTGAACCGGCTCTTCTCACCTTTCAAGACCAGAGCCACTAGAGGGTTAATTATTCTTTTCTTTTGTGTTAAACCCCTCTGCCTCATAATCAAGGATAAATTCTGATAATTCCAATCTTTTTTTGATTTTTTTTGGATATACAGCGACGTTATGTACGGGTTAACTCGTATTCTAATGAACAAAAATGTAAGCAATAATGACGTCAGCATAAATTTGCTTACTAGTGTCGTGGTGGTTTTGTTGGTTGTAAGTGGTTGTGCATTTTGGCATCAAGATGGAGCATAGTTGTCCAAAACCGGTGCAAATAAAGAGAACTCTAGCCAGATGTCAATCAAATGATGAACGAGTAATCTGGAACATGCACGGAGAAAGGGAAATGAAAAAATGAACAAACCACAAAGTTAGAATTATAAAATGTTGATATAAAACAGAGAATTTTAAAAAGACGCTATGTCACGCTATTTACTATCTTTTCAAAAAAGCTAAGGGATCATTATACGTTTCTGGGAAACTGCCCACCTTCCCCTCCCCTAAGCAAACATTTTGCCCTAAGTGAGAAGTAAGTGTTAATGTTGGCTTAGGGGTGGGGTAGGTGGGCAGTTTCCCAGAAAGGTAAAGCTAAGATGTGTCTTTGCATTGAATTCCAAACCTAATAATCTAGTTTTGTCATTTAAGACTATATTCAGGCATTATCTTTTGCTACGGATGGCAAGGATGGTCATGGATTAACACTTGAAAAAAATGGGCCAATTTTTCAAGTTTAAATGCCATGCCTATAAAAATTACCCTGAAAAAAAATTTTATGGTTAGTGCTGTCTGTTGAAATTTGTTTGATATCTTCCTCTTAACACAACAGGAGCATTTTGTGTGTGGGCAAAAGTACTACGTAATGACCTAAAAAAACAGCAATATCCTCCTGACAAAACTCCGCCAAGTAAGAGTTTGTTTTGATTTCTCATTTTCCTTTCCCCATGCTCGCTCGCTGTTTTCACTTCCAGATTCAGTCTGTGAATACAATAGGCCATTTCCGAGTTCCAAAATCTCTCACTTTCAAAACGAAAAACCTTTGTTTTGAAAATGAGTTTTATCTGCATGAGAATAACATATTATTTTCATATCAGTGGTTTCGCATTTAGCCTCGCTTTGAAACAGAGGCTTGAGACGATATTAACGTTTAAATTGTTCTTATTTTTAAATAAAGAATTAACTTTGTTTTTCTGTTGTTGTTAGGGTTTAACGCATATGTGGGATATCTGCTGCTGGAGCATACCCATGCCAACCCAGTTCTGGTTACTTTTTGCCAGCTTCTCATCAAGACGACGAACGAGGAACAGGAAGAAATCAATGTTCTTAAAAACCACTTAACAGGGGAGCAAGGATGTGCAAGTAAGTAAACATGTTATTAAATCACGTTTATCGAATTAGTTGAGGTTTTTGTATTCCTGACTCATGCTCCTATAAGTTTTAAACAAAAACATTGATACTTTGAGTTTCAAATTTCGTCATCCTTGGGAAATTTTAGACATTAGCCGGGGGAGCCGCCAACGCGAGCTGGTGAAGCCGGCAAGAAGAATAGCTCGCCCACCGTATTCTCTTCGTCTCTGGACGAGCTGGACATAAATGCGTCCCAGATTACGTTGTCCCGTTTTCATACTAGACGCATTTAATGTCTCAGACGTTAAACTCGGCGGTTAAGTGCGCCTAAACGACGCACTTAACAGAAGACTTTAATGTCGTCAAACCAAAATACGCCTGTCTCATTTAACGTCTCAGACGACCTTAACGTCTCTACTATGAAAGCGGCCATTCAGTGTAAAGGTGTCAGGCGTTACCGGCTCTCAAAATAAAGTTGATCTTCATCATCATGGTCCTGGCCATCATCATCTTCGTCAATAGCACTATGGTAGTCACATTCATCTTCATCTCTGCATATTCATCCCTATATAAGCCCATTGTGTATTTACCTATTTCTTCCCTTAAAAATTGCCCAATGTTTGTTTAGACAATCAAGTAAGTGTTGAGCTGAGGGAGACACCACTTGGACGTAACAAATTTCGACGACTTCGCAATCGCTGGCACCTGCTGTATACTCTACACAACAACCCGTCGCTCCAGCAGCACCGTCGGGCAGAAATGTTCACTCAAAAGTCGCCATTTGCTGCGTTTAGAGTTATGGTACAAAAAGGCGTGGTAAATGTATCGCAGGACATCCTAGAAGAAGATAAATCTGAAAATCTGGACTGCAAGCTGTAATTAGATTCTAATTAGATTCTAAGGGTCCAAAGTGCACACTTCTTGCTGATCTTCTGTGACTGGTCTATTTTTTAACCCCCTTGTCTCAGCAGATGTTCTTTGGAGAGGATTGCGTAACAAGCGAAAAGCACGTCTGCATGAGAGGCTTACTTGGGACAGACTACGCTATATTTGACTTTAAGCTTTGTCTGTTTGGATCATCCACATTTGTTGTTTAATTACTGGATGTCAGGTTTCATCACGTTTGTGTTTGCGACACGGACTTTCATAGAATCACTTGAATTTTTAGCTCTGACCATTATCCGGGAATTTTTGATCCAAATCTTTTTGGCTTGAAAGCCAAGTGTTGGGAAACAGGCTTCTAGGAGCTTCTGGTTGTAGTTTTCAAGAATTAGCAGGGGTAAAGTCTGTAAGAAACGACGGAATATTTTGAATGAATTAAAAATGTGCGATATCTAGGCTCTCCAATGAATTGCCAGTTGTTTCTTTTAAAGAAGGTTTCAAACATCAATGCCTTGATTCAAAACGCAATGGAAAACTCACCTTTTCAGGTAAGCTTACATTGCATTGTATTTTTTATGGCTTTATCGAGTTTAATTTTTTTTAAACTAGGTTTCAGCGAGTGAGATGAAGTTAATTACTTATAAAGTTATTTTCTATCATAATTGACTGTAAATATATTTTGTAATTTAGAAGTATGATTTGTAAGACCCTTTTCAATGGACAATTAGTAAAGATAAGACTATAGAAATATTCTTAATATTACATCTTATGACGATGGTTGAATTTTTTTTTTTTTCAAACCGAAACAGAAAAAAGCGAAACATGACGGTTCTATTCAGTTTTAAAGTGAATAACGCCGGCTAGCTTAAACTAAAGAGGCCTCACTTTCGTTTTTTTCTGGTCGAGAACTTAGGGCCATTTAACCCATAAACGCAGAATTCCTTTTTTTTTTCTATTCAAAAATGGTATGTTTTAAGTTGATCGGCCTTGAATTGTGCTAAAATTATCCCTCTCGTCCTTTAAGGCTATGATCACATTATACTGGATAGCTTTTGCGCGGGCACAAAAACCACCGACACCGGATAGGGCTTCTGTTCACACATAAGAACGGTGATCTGGACGCGATTTCTGTAACGAAACGAAGCTGCGCGTGACCGATGTCTTAAGTGTAGAGTCGAATATCGGATGGGCGTTCATACTATTGCTGGTTTGCCCGTGATGTCACGGCGGCCGTGTTGCATGGTGGTAAAGAACAAAGGCATTTCTCTCCTCTGGGAACTTAACTCAAAAAAATTTTATTGTATTTACCCCTAACATGGCCGCCTTTTCACGTGGTTGCAAACCAAGAATACCAGATAGCTTTTCGTGTGGACGCGAAAAGCTATCCTACATAGCGTACGAACTAATGTGTGGTTGACAAAGCTGTCGCGCAAAGCACTTATCCATACTGTCTGACTTAAAATCTCCTCTGTCATGGCTATAGATCTGAAGCGTGCGTTCAGCGCTTCGATTTGAAAGACCAACAATAAAAGACGCCCCGCTGAAAAATGCTGCAGATCTTTGAAAACAGAAGGTAGCAGTTGCAATTATTACCCGGCGCGAAATATACTGTAACGTCAAGTTTTTTTAAAAATATTGCTAACAGAACTACTGTTAACTGCCGTATTAAAAAATTCCCCTCTGAAGAGTTTTTGAATTGCACATTCAAAAACTGCCGATACCTGTGTGTGGTCGTGTTTTAACAGGGTGCAGGGTTAAAAACGCGGAGGGCGAGCATTTTTAGACTTTGACAAACACTTGCTGTGAGTGTTTTGAACCCCTTTGAAAATATGTTCTTCCCTTCTACCCTGAATATTTAATTTCTTCTGCCATTGGTCGATGTCTTGTTTCATTAAAAGTCTGCTTTATCCCAAACCTCAGAAAAGAAAGGTAAATGAATAATTAAATACACTGTGTAAAATACAAAGACGCGCCCTAAATTCAGTTATGCAAATTAACTTGAAGAAAGTGCCGGAGACACAGTCCAATTCGCTCCCAGCCTTCACGTGGACGATATCTGAACCATACAAAAGAGAACATACCTTATTATAGGAAATTAACGCTCCATGAAATTATGGTATTGGAAATTAACTCGACTTAAATTAACGCGAATTTAATGGGAAACGGACAAAAGAAAGAAAAATTAGATTAACGTGAAAGAGAAGGTAGAATTTCATAATAAAGGAAATTAACGCGATTAAGACAGTTGGTCAAAGGAGAAGATATTGACATCACTTCTGACAGCGACAACGATGAAGATGAACTCGAAATATTGTAAACCTTCGCCTTAGCTTTTGTGAAAGATGAAAAATAAAGGGTAAATGGAAAGAAAGAAAGCTTGTAGTTAATGTTTTTTGGGTGTCAAGAATGTCTGGACAGGTTCCAAAATTGGGGTTAAAATACTGGAATTTAACAGCGCGGAAATTAACGCTGCACTTGATTAACGTCGCGGAAATTAACGCTCAACAAAATGAACGCGACTTAAATTAACGCGAATTTTAACGATTTGCGTTAATTTCATGGAGCGTCAATTTCCTATAATAAGATACTCAAGGATAGTGTCACTAAATCTATCCGGAACGTGACAAAATGGACATTTAACATGTTCACGGAAAATTGGTAATTGTTTGTGCCTTTTTTCATAATCATGCATAATTGGTAAGTAGTTTTCTGTTGAATTGGATTTTGTTTGGCCTTCTCTGTGTTACAGAAATCTTCAATTCTTTAAGAAAATTTTTGTAATAATAGCTTCCTTAGTTTAAGACCGGGTGGCAAGAAGCTCTCACGACGATTTTATTAATTAGCGAACAAAACCAAAGATGAATGACCCAAATTTGTACAATACGCCTTGCCCGAAAGACAAAAACAGAAAGGAAATCAAGGTTTCTGAGAGCCTCCTGGCCCCATGATTTTTTGTAGATTGTAGATTTGGATGTGGTTGAATTCAAATCCCTCCACCTTGATGAATTTTACCTGGAATAACATTAAGGTTCCTTATACGTGAGAAGACAGGACTCGTGTTTTGAATTAGACAATATCATTACAATATGGCTTCCGAATACCTGTGAGCTTTTGCAACATATTTGAAGTGCCTACAAGGTGTAATTGTAACATCAGAAGCAAAAAAGGGGTTGTTGAGCAGCGTACAGGGGTCAAGAAATCTTACTTAAGGGCCTATTTACATTAAGTTGGGAGACTTCGGTAGGCGACGTATGCCGAATCCACTGAGATGGGGGTAACAAAACAGCAACGTAACGAAGACCGCAAATGAATATGCCGCAAGGCGTTGATTTACAGAAAAACTGATCACCAAAAATATATCCCAAGTGGACATAAATCTCTAAAGGTGGTCGTACTACGTAAAAATTAACTTTGCTATGCTAAACACGTCAAACACGTGGACAAGTAATTCATGGGTATACAGGATATACTTAGGGAGTCTATATTGAGACTACCATGAAGATACTTGCTAACACGACACCTACAGAATCCAAACATGGCAGGGTGGTAGCGGCATCGACATTATTGCCTGGGCCCAGTTGCTCGAAGCATGGTTAGCGTTAACCAGCGTTTAATACCTTGACAACGTATTGGTTTTGATACGGCTTAACCAATGGTTAACGCTAACCATGCTTTGAGCAACTCAGCCCGTCGCTAAGGACGTAAACAGACAAGATGGCGGGCGAACGACGGGTTTTGGCGGTTAATGCTCTTGCTGCAAATTGAAACAATGAAAACAGAGGTGGATTAGCTTATACAATAGGATTTTGCTGGAGAGAATGGAAAGAGAACTCAAGAATGGAGCGTGTAGCTTTTGTGTCTGTGTTTGATGTATTAAAAACATGAGAGATTATGTGGACACACGGGTATAAACCTCACCATCCTGGGGTCCCCTATCACCCTGTAAACAGGGCCTGTCCTTCTTTTACAGGAACTTTCCATGTCAAGTCTGTCGTAAAGATGCTAAGGATATTCAAAATTTATATTGTTCCCGTAAAGTTGTTGTGAATTTTGCATAAATTAATACTAAATCTACTCCAATTTTTCCACTATAGATTCTAAATATTGAGTAATTATTATCGTTATTTGAATTGACGTTTTGCCAGCTGTTCAGAAAACCGGGATCGATCAGACCAGATCGGATCAACCCTCTGAAACACTATCACTACCTTTTGCCAATTAGTGAAATATGGGTGGTTGATCCCATCTGGTCCTATACAAAGTTGTGGTTGAAAAGTGACAGCATATAACATGTCTATTAGTCCATCGACTCTCTCAATTTTTGGCCTTTCCTTAGATCTTGTTTACTGTGGGTAATGTCGACCGAGATATCGGTTGACATAGCGGTCGATATAGCGGTCGACACTCGGTCGATAGTCGGTCGACACTCGGTTGATACTCGGTCGACACTCGGTCGACAGTCGGTCGACATAGCGGTCGATAGTCGGTCGATAGTCGGTCGACACTCGGTCGAGACACGGTCGATAGTCGTTCCAGATGTGTCTCGGCCGATATAGCTTTTCGTTCACCGACACTTCACCGACACTTCGCCGACACTTCGCCAACACTTCGCCGATAGTTGGTCGATACTTGACCGATGTATCGGTCAGAAATTAGTCGACACTCGGTCGATGGTCGGTCGACACTTGGTCGATAGTCAGAAGATAGCCGTTCGATATATCGGTCGAGAGGCCGCAGATAGTCGATTGATATATCGGTCGAGATTTTTGTCGGTCTGTATAGTTTTTAGTCCGTTATCAATAGCCCTGGAGAAGAAATTGGAGCAAGATTACTGAAATATAAACCGATTGCCCCCATTGACACATGGAGATTCTTGAAAAATTCGCATTTTTGGACATTTTTCGGTCAGTTATGAGTCCATACTACTCAAAATTAAACATGAAAGTATGCCTTTCTTTGCAATAGCATCCCGTTTTGTGACATTTTTTGGTACGGGCATGTATTTACAGTTCATCTTTTTTAAACTTGTTTTTCCTTAACAAGTTAAGATAATATTATGTTAACGCGGCGCATACTGTTTTCCTTTTACTGGATGACCAAAAGTGACTTAGCATTCAATATTAATTTCTGTATACGCATGGTCGTCTTTATTTTGAACACAATATAAAGCGAAAGGACAGAGCAAAAGGACAGGATAATGTAATGAGAACGTATGAGTATTTTCGTTGCTGTAAATTGAAATCATTCCCACTATAAATGAATGTGTTCAGTCTTCTGGATATTTTGTCACCTTCCTCGGCGCATTATCAGCGCGTTTTATCCATAACTGATCGTTAAACAAAGGACTGTTCCCGTCTTCAATGCAGAAATATATATGTTTAATTTGTGGTCTCTGCACAAACGAGAACTTGGCGTGATGAAGCAGGTCAAAGTCCGATAATAAAAGATGTGTATTCCTCGCTCTTAAAGCATGTCATGAACTGCCTTTTCCTATTCATTATTCGTCCACTTCGGGACTGCGGGAGCAGTCGTTTCACTCGTCCTTCTTTAAGTATTCTTCGACTGCGGGACCAAAGGAGCAGCAGATTCAACTTAGGCTGAGACAGGTTCTGTTTAACAGCTAAGAATCAGACGATCGGTGATGATACCAACTGGAAAAAAAGGGTTACCATGTCCTTACTTCTCAGTGCTCTTCCGTTCGCTTCAAAGAGTAATCGCGCCTCGCACTGCCACATGTTCCCCCATCGCATGATAACAGTAATTAATGACGTCTTTGCTCAAAGAAAAAAGCCATTCGACTCACCGGATAAATTAACACACGACTGATATTCGAACGACAGTTGACCGATATACCACCGACAGTTGACTGATATACCACCGACAGTTGACCGATATACCACCGACAGTTGACTGATATATCACCGACAGTTGACTGATATATCACCGACATATGACATATGAAATATCGACCGATACTCGGCCGATAGTCTATCTCACTATCGACCGACTATCGACCGACTATCGACCAACTGTCGACCGACTGTCTAACGACTGTCGACCGACTATCGACCGACTATCGACCGACTCTCGACCGACTCTCGACCGACTATCGACCGCCTGTCGACCGCTATATCGACCGCTATGTCGACCGGTATGTCGACCGATATCTCGGTCGACATTACCCATAGTAAACCCAGAGTAAACAAGATCATTCTTATAGCTTTAACAAAGAATAATGGTTATATGCTAAGAAGGCAAACACTTCACATGTGAATTTGACTTATATGGAGTGAGTTGACAGCTGCATGTAAGAAACATATCACTATCATGGTTTTTAAGGTATGTCTTCTTTTGATGTAACTAAACATGAAGAAAAACCACAAGAACGACATGCAGTGTTTCATCTCATGACACCAAACCTAAGTGGGTTGAACAAAAGATGAATCCTTGAGTTTGTTACAAACCACCTTGAAGTCTTTGGGTATGGGATTAAACACTTTGTTGGGTGTTCGATACATTTGTCAAATGAACAATAATCTTTGAAGAAAATGAAATTAAAAATTGCAAAATATTAATATATTCATAAGAATTTGAAATTCCATTCTTCTTTCCTCTTTGTTTACTTCATGAAGTATTAATGAGATTGCTTTGCTGGGAAAAAAGACTAAAGTCTTTTGTTTATTTTTGTTGTATTTTTGATTGTGCATTCTAGTGATATTCTTCAAAGTCACTATTAATTATATTATATTAAAGTTTTCACAACTTAGTTTTATAAGAAGGGCTAAGTATGATGTTATGCAGGTAATACAGCCCAGGGATTGTTTTGTAGGTAATTTATGAAACTTGATGTTGCATGACTGTTTACTTAACGTTTAAAGGTCTTTGCCGTGGTTCCCTGTCTATTTGGCAGAGTCGACCACTTAGAAATTCCAAACCTTCGTCACCCTCTTTCATTTTATAAAAGCATGTTGGCTTTGAAGCATCTTCATGCGATGATAGAATTGGCGTAAGAATTCCATGAAATACCGATGTTTATCAAAATAATACTCAAGAATATTTTCATCCCTATATCAATAAAATATGGGGAAGAAGAATCAGTTTGCCCAGGTTATCATTTTTTGATAGCAAGTTAACCCAAGTCTGACTCTGTCTCCCCAGATCATGATGGGGAGGCAAAGGACTTGTTCGTCGTTGACCCTGAATCTTTTTTGCCTCAAACGACTCCTCTTCTTCTGCTAGATAGAGTTTGAAATTGATATATCAAAAAAGAGGACATAGACCCACAACGTTGCATATCCTTTGGCGTTTCCACGATGGGAGCAACAAATTTGCACCCTCCCAGCCACCAGACAAACATGTGTAAATTTGTAAACTGAATTTATTTTTTGGTTGTTTTTAGCACGACACTACTCCCAAACTAGGTAGCTTAAGCACTTAATTTAGTCCCCTCTTTCAAACAGTTTGGATGGTTTTTTTTTCCTATTTAGTCTAAATTCAATATTTTAGAGAAAAATACTTGGAAGGGCTATTCCATTGACATTATTTTACATCATATCAATACGCCGACCCATGGTAATCTTTTTAGTGCTGGTCAAGTTTTGATTTCCTAGTATATGTTTTCAAGACAGTATATGTGAAAACAATACAGTGCTGTAAAGGTTGCTGGATTAAAGCAATCTTCTAAGTCTTCTTAAGGACAAATATAGCCGGAATACAGAAGGTTTTTGAGTCTTTATTTAAAACACTAAGCTGCAACAGACTTTAATGCTTTGAAAGGAGACAAACTCTTTAAAGAAATGAAGGGGACAGCTTTACTATTTACTTTTTAACCAGCTATTAAGATGCAGTTTGCAGTCTGAGACAGTTGTGTTTGGAATTCCTGTTCTCAAGAGAATTGTAGGACAGTGCGTTGACAATACGTTGACAAGTGTGTTCAGTGTATCAGCTCAAATAAAGCTGGGAAGGCAGCTGAGGACATACACTTATACTGTGCAAGAACCATCTCTAAGTAAAAACCTGTCATGTGCTGTCGATCTACACATATTCTCTGAATGTACAGTCCTTTAACCACGGCCGCTTTTCAATTCGTTTTCCTTTTGGAACCAAGGTTTTTTGGCAGCTTGGAGAGTTCTGTGCGGTTGCAAAGACCGCGGAAATTAACTTAAAGTCTATGATTATCAATCACACATGCTTACCTCTTTGTAAAATTTTCAACAATTTACTCTGCATAATGGCGATAAAATCTTCTGTTTATCGTATCCATATTCAAATTAGCTCCTTCTAAATCACTGTTTCATGGTATGAATGGTCTTTTTAGGCACGGAGATAAAAATCTTTATCAACTGTTTAATTACTCTTCTTGCTTATATAAAAAGTGAGAAAATGTTCATAAAACGTCTTTTAGATAACTGAACAGGCTTTATCAGTTGTAGGTTTAAGCCATTAATAGGTAAAACTCTAGCGCCCGAGCTGCAACATAGAGGCTTTGCAACTAATCGGTTAAGTCGGAATCTATTTAGCACCATGAACACAGTGGTAAGTTTTATCTCTAACACTTTCCAATTCAAGGAGTCTTTTCCGACTTTCGCAAACTCTAGTGACAGTATAATATTGTAAAATTTGATGCAAAACTTTTATTACAGCAAAGGATTGTTTTAGATGCGTTTGCAGCCATTAAAAAGCACTTAAATTTATATATCAAAAGCATGTCATAGGGTCCCACAGTATGTCACCCTTAAGCGTTCGGGTGAGAGCCCCTCCCTTTACCCTCGGCTTCATTCCCACATTCTCTGCGATCCGAGTTTACTTTCCATTCGTTGTTTGTTTACTTTTTCCCTGCGAAAATAGTGTTCTAAACAGTTCCGATTATTGAATTTCGTGAGCTTTTTCATTCCATAATAACTAAATAGTACAAAGGTTGTTTTTAAAAACAGTTTCTAATTTTCGGTGCATAAGAAGAACTGTACGTAATGTTTTGATAGAACAGAAGTATAAGATGTATTCAGAAGTGCCAAGACGAAATCGAGATATCTTAACACAGGTTGAATAAACCATGCCATTGTCGCCAAAACTGGGTGATACTACTATCCAAAATTTAGCTCAGGTCATAAAATATTTGTCGACTGATAATACATATTCTACGAAAAAGCCTTTCAAGGACAACAGCAGTTGACTTGAGCCAGATTGGAAAGGCATTTCGGAAGCACAGCTGGGTAAACATGAGAAAAGAACAGGACTTAAAAAGAGGGCTTGAAACCAATCTCTACGCTGTCTGCTTGGACATTTGTTTTCAGAGTCGAAGATGCATACTTTCATCGTCTTGCTGTTAACGGGGTTCGCCTGGCAAATCAATGCAAAGAACTATGTACGCGTCTGTTACCACACCAACTGGTCTCAGTATCGCCCAGGTGCAGGCAAGTTCTGGCCTGAGAATATCGACCCCCATCTTTGCACACATTTGGTGTACTCTTTTGCCAAGATTAACCGTAACAACGACAAACTGGCCATGTACGAGTGGAACGATGACAAACTATACCCAAGGTTTAACGCACTAAAGAAGGAAAACCCTGATTTGATAACCCTTCTGGCCGTAGGTGGTTGGAACCACGAGAATCATAACAGCCCATTCTCCAAGATGGTCAAAACTGCAGCTTCTAGGAAGGTAATTTTAAAGGCTACCTTTATACCTGAACTATGAGAACTGTCAGTGTCTTTTGAGGGAAAAAATTTACTGCGATATTCGTATTTCAGCCCCAAAAGACCCTAAAAAGCGTTGATTTTCTATTTTGACTCTACTGTTTCATTTAAACTTGGCGATTCCTCAGGGATTATGAAATTAGCCGCAGTGATGTCATTAAAATAACGGAGCCTACCGTTTGATTTTAATCTAAAACATCTAACTTAATTTCATAAATGTCATAAGTTTCATCTGCGCGAATATAACCATTTTCGACTCTGTTCTCGACTGAAAATAAACATAGAGCCTCGAATTCTCTTTATAGAGCGCGGCACAACTTTTACAATAAATATTTCCTGCTATCGTTGTCGATATTAAACGTCCTTCTTTTTTTTTTGACTTCAATCTTTTTATTGCGCGTCCGTAATAAAGGTGTGATCTGGCCTCACAATAGGGAAAACAATAGAGAGATTCGGCTATTTTCACCCGCCTACTCCACGATGAAGAGTACTGCCGCGCTTTCATGGTAACCAATGAAAAAGACTCCTGTTCAGCATTTTAGAATAAAAATAAGCGCTATGGCAGACCTAGAAGCTTTCACCGACTGTAAGTAATTGTCTCGAGAGCAATGGCCATTTCTCCCGATGGGCCGGCGATGAGGGCAACTTAGATTACTACCGATTTCTCATGTAAAGAAAAATAGCCAGAAAAATCTCTAACGTATTTCAAGTGCATGTAGTTAGATAAAGAAAACATCTCTGAATGGCTCTAGCGTGGTTTCTTAAATCTCTCTAACAGCTTATACTTGAGCAGTTGTTAGACTGTTTTGTGTCTGTCCATCTTTCTTTTTGCTATATATTTTGTTAATGAATGTGAACACCATTCTTTTCAAGGTATTTATTGACTCTTCAATTGAGATGCTACGAACCTGGGGTTTCGATGGTCTCGATCTGGACTGGGAATATCCCGCTGTTCGAGGCGGTTCTCCACCAGGGGACAAACAAAAATTCACTGTTCTTTGCCAGGAGTTGTTGGATGCCTTCAAAGCGGAGGCGGCGCAGACTGGAAGGCCCCGTCTTTTGCTAACAGCTGCTGTGGCAGCTGGTTATGCTACAATCGACAAAGCCTACGAGGTTGCAAAATTAGGTCCATTGCTTGACATTCTCAACTTGATGACCTATGACCTTCACGGTAACTGGGACCAAGTGACCGGCCATCATACAGCCATGGTAGGAGATGACAAGCTTACCGTGCCTTACGCAGCCCAGTACTGGATTGACAAAGGTTTTCCTGCAAATAAGATCGCTCTTGGTATGGCTACTTATGGACGAGCGTTCGCCCTGAAAGACCCCAGCAACAGTGGTCTCGGTGCCCCAAAGCACGATTGGCAGAAGCCCCACAAGGGTCAGTACACCCGTGAAGCAGGATTCCTGGCCTACTACGAGATCTGCAAGCTTGGCTTGAATGTTGTCACAGTAAATGGAGTCGAGGCTCCATACGGCCACAAAGGTACCATCTGGGTAGGCTTTGACAATAAGCGTAGCCTGCACAATAAGACAACCGAAGTTATCAAGAAAAAGGGTCTCAAGGGTGCAATGTTCTGGGCCCTGGATTTAGATGATTTCAGTGGCAAGCAATGTGGTCAAGGTAAATATCCGTTGATAAACGCCGTGAAAAAGTACTTGGGAGGCTACACCCCACCACCTCGGCCAACGGTGCAGACTCCTTCACCTGGTGCTACAACCACTGAACCCAGCCCTGTAACGACGTTACCTCCGGTACCACCAACTACCAACCCCACAGGTTCTGGTACCTGCGTAGCTATACCACCGTTCGATCAGCAACCAGGCATGGATGGATGGTGCAGCTCAAATTGTGCAATTGGAAATTGCCCTGCGAGTCACTGCAAATGTGATTAAGACAAAGTAAAAATGCTTTACTGATTAAGGTGCAATAATGTAATGTATAAGGTATTGGGACAGGGATGTAGAATAAAATATCAATGATTAAATTCTGCTAATTCGCATTCACTCAGGCTTCTTGCGTTACCCAGGGGGATATATGCTCTACGATTAACAGGGGATTTGACAATTCACATGGTTTGGTTCAAATATTTGTATTCCTCAGCCCCACTCCCCTTCGGAGCTACTACTTAAACTGCTTATCCCCATAGACCTCTGTTGTCGAAAACATTCCGTATGTCCCTTTCCCACTGCCTTCTCGGTCTTCCTCTCTGTCATTTTCCATCTATTTTTCCCTCCAAGATGATCTTTCCCAAGCCCTCACTTCTTTTCAAATGGCCAAAATACTTCAGCTTTTGTTTCCTTATCAAGATCTCTAACCATTGATCTTCCACTTTCAGTTTCTCCCTAACTGACTTATTTGTTTTCAAGGGTTTGAACAATCGATTATTTTTCCAGGAAAACAACAAGAGGTGTTAAAACGTTGAACTTTTTAAGAATCGTGTTTTTGTGTAGTATTTTCAATCTTGTCGGCAACTGTGGTTGCCAGTGGCCCGGTCACACAGTGTCACTTCAAAGTTTGCCTATAGACCTTTACACTGGACTACAAGTCGTATCGAGATTTTTGCCATTTTCGATTGCGATTACACAACAATTTGGAAATAGGACTTTAAAAAGTTGGATGATCATGCAAAAATGCCCCGCATCAAAGCTGTTTTTAGAACTAAAAAATTATCTGACACTTTATTGCTTACACAACATCCTTCAAACTACTATTTCAATTGAACAAATCCTCTTTGCGTTTTACCTTTCGACAGCAGATTCGGACGCTAGCATTAAAAAAATCGTAAAAAAGAAGTCGACAGTGCAAGTGCAAGAATCTCTAATTTAAACGAAAACTCATGTCGAGCGGTTTGAAAATTATTCAGTTATTTGTGTAAGTAGACCAAAATGTTCACAAAACCTCTAGCAAGAGCGCCTTAATACAAACTAATCAAATCCTTCTTTCTTGCAAACCGCTAAAGCTATATGCATAATCTTTCACACACCTTTTTAAAAAGATTGAAACTACTATAATGAGGTAAAGTTGCATTTCAAAAGCGTTTCGTTTTCTTCAGATAACGGCCGAACATCAAGATTGTCCATTTTTTACCGTATTCCTGACCATGAACAGTTCATCCTAAAATGTCTCATTAACGCTTTCTTTGCTTAAACTTCACGAGCATAGAGGCGACTATTGGAAGAAAAAGCTCCTGTGAACGGGTTTGGAAGAAGAGTTTCCAGTGACAAGAAATAGGGCTGCAAGTCGAAAAAGAAATGGCGTCATTTCGTTGCTACAACAACTCCGATGTCATTGTAACACTGATCATAACAAATTTCCTCTTCATTTTTAATGCAACTGTGGTGGTAACCTTTCCAAATCTTTGTTAATGATGACGTAGTTTCTGCTCAAATGTGGGAGGTATTGACCCTAAAAAAAATACCTCATCGAGTCATCTTAACATAAAAGACATTCTGATGCACTTTTTGTATTGAACCGTTCTGTGGTCCCAATATTTTCTCCCATAAAGATATAAATCGTTAAGCACTGATTAACTGCGGCGTTTGAGTATGATTTACAAAATCCCGTTTCGGGAGGAACTGTGAAGATACTTGGCGTTTTAGTGCTATGTGCAATTGTAAGTTTACGTTTTGTTTCGTACCCTTGACCTTTCCAGTTATTATTAATGTAATTTGTGAAACTGTTTTCCACTCACTAATTGAAACCATAAAAATTAAAGATACCTCTCAATAAATCTACAAGAGCGTTTAGAATTTGTTTCAACGCTGATTTTATTTCCACTTCATGGCCTAACAAAAAAAAAATAAATACACCAGAATCAATAAGGCCACCTGTATGTCTTAACGCTTCTTTTTAGGTGCACTGGCAGTGACTCGCTGGACAATTTCCCACGGCACAGTTTAACTTGCACCATTCATCCATGTTCGGTCCGGTATCGTGCGGTGGGATTGCCACACAATTTTTTCCGGGACCTGGTGAAACTGGACGCTGGGTTGAAGCTAGCGGCCCCGAGGTTGTTACAGGACATGGTCTCGCTGTTGTTACAGGGCCAGGTTCAGTCGTAGTGACAGGGACGGGTCCGGTGGTCGTTTCAGGGCCTGGTGCTGAAGTGGTAAAAGGTGGAGTAGTTGGACGTGGTGGTAGTACGTTGCTTTCCAGGGCCTTTTTCACTGAGTTTATCAGGGGATATGTGCCTTGTCCACAATGTTTGCCACTAAAATCGTCTAAATCAAGAGCCCAAAACATCGCTCCCATGAGATTCTTCTTTTTTATCACCTCTGCAATCTTGTAGTTCAGACTCTGTTGATCATCAAAGCCTACCCACCCTCCGCTCTTGTACCCATATGGAGCTTTCACTGCATTTTCGGTAACAAGAGTCAAACCCATTTTGCAGATCTCGTAGTAGGCCAGGAATCCAGGCTCACGGGTGTACTGACCTTTAGGCGGACTTGTCCATTCGGCCTTAGGAGCGCCGAGGCCGTTATTATTCGCATCTTTAAGGGCGAACGCTCGTCCGTACGTCGCCATTCCAAGGGCAATTTTTTCAGGTGGAAATCCTCCCTTTATCCAGTACTGGGCTGCGTATGGCACGTAGTAATCTTTCCCATCTCCTGTAATATCGACCATTGCTGTGTGGTGTCCCGTCACCTTGTCCCAGCTGCCGTGAAGGTCATAGGTCATCAGGTTGAGTATGTCCAGCACCTTACCCAGTTTCTTGATCTCGTATGCTTTCTCGATGGTGTCCCTACCAGCTGATACAGCAGCTGTCAGCAAAAGGCGAGGCTCGCCGGTTTGGGCCGCTTCAGCTTTGAATTCATCCAACAGCTCTTCACAAAGATATGTGAACCTCTGTTTGTCTTCTGGGACGGATCCTCCTCTGTCTTTTCTACCCGGATACTCCCAATCCAGATCGAGGCCATCAAATCCCCACTTTCGCAGAAACGATACTGCATGTTCAATAAAAACCTAAATGTTAAAAAACAACAACAATTTGCTCTTGTTAATCAATGCTTGTGAAGAAAGAGATTACCCCGGAGTTCTTTCCGAGTTTTGCGCAAGGCTTTCTTAAGTTCCGCAAAGCTTGAAAACGGTAAATGCATCATCTTCTTTTAAAAAAGGAACAGATCAAACTGGCGACGTGGCGAACATTGCTCCCCCATTTTTTGGCATTAAAGGGTTAAAAGTTGTTCTCAAAACACCGATAAAACATAAAAGGAAAGAGAAATTGACGTAAGGAGTTACTGGATCAATCACACAGGTTGTTTATTAAGACTAAAAGCTTTTAACCCTACAAGCTTACGTAAAGTACTCATTCACAAAAGATTTATATTTTACAACGAATACATTTTCAGGTCGGATACGGCGATTTGGAAACATTACCCTTCTGGAAGCTGCAGTGCGGGCCATCTTGGAAAATGGACTGTTTGTATTTTCGTGGTTCCAACCTCCTACGGCCAAGAGGGTTTTCAAATTGGGATCTTTCTGTTTGAGTGCGTTGAACCTTGGGTATAATTTGTCATCGTTCCACTCGTACATGGCCAATGTGTCGGTATTCCTGTTAATCTTGGCAAAAGAGTACACCAGGTGGGTACACAGGTAAGGATCAATATTCTCAGGCCAGAACTTGCCTAGACCAGGGCGATACTGAGACCAGTTTGTATGGTAGCACACTCGTACATATTTTTTGGCACTTATGAACGAGGTAAAACCCGCCAAGAGTAGGATGATGAACGCACGCATTTTGAGGTATTATCAACGCAAATACCCAAAGCAATGTAAATGGCTGGGATTCTAGAGCACCTCGTTATAAAGCAGTAACTTCTACGCGTTTTTAAACAGCTGTGCATACGAAGTTCCCTTATGTTCTTCCTTTAACCAATTGCACTTTAAGTTTCATATGATGTTTGAACAGAAATGGTGTTTTGTTTTAATAGCGGTACAAACTCAGCTGCAAGTGTGTTAAAATGTCTTTAAAAAATCAGACGGGAGTTTGAAATTGTTTTATTTAGCAGTTTTAGCCTGTGTTTAGATAACTCCCTTGACTTGTCTTGCCCACGGTAAGGGTAAAAAGGTGACATGTAAAATCAGGACACAAAACATGATCTATCATTTAAAGGTTTTTTCGAATCACACTAGCAGGCACGGATAAGGTCTCTAAAACGACTGAAACATGTTTAGAATTGAAAAATGAAACGTACAATCTTTTTTCATCCCTCGTATCTTCTGGTTATACAGTTAAGCTATGGCTTACATTGCAGAGCTCTGCAGGATATTGCTTGTTTTCTAATATCAACTTACAAAGATAAAGGTCTAATAGTTTAAGGGGAAGAAAACATGACTTGGGGTACGTTTTTATGCCTTACCGGTGTAGACCTATTACAATTGACCCTCCATTAACGATCACTTCCTCACAACGGCTACCTCTCTACAACGGCCACTTTTTTGGCAGACAGTCCATACGTTTACTCTTGTTTAAACCTCTCCACAAAGGTCACTTTCTTCTGTCCCAAGGTGGCCGTCGTGGGGAGGTTCAACTGTAGTGATTCTTTTTTTTCATATTGTTGTACAAATGTCAGGCGAAAAGACCCTTCCTCTGTTTTTTCAACTTTTGACTAAGAAACGTTAACCAAAATACGTCAACACCGCTGGAAAGAATTAGTAAAGATTCAAGTTAGTATACATTTTTATGGTGGGGGCAAGTCCCCCCCCCCACCATTCAAAAGTCTGTAACATTATGCGACTTTGTAAAGCGATATCTTTGGTCATCTTTAGACGTACCACCTTAAACTTAAATTAACTAATTTTGTGGCGTTCTAGGCCGGAGGGGTCTGAAAGAACAAAGCGCAAGCTAAGAAACAATAATGGATTGGTCAAAATGAACGTTTTATACCCCCAATAAATTAAACATTCCCGTATGAAATCAAAGACGACAACTTTCTGATACAAATATGGTGAATACAAATTTTGAGTGTCAGTGTTCTGGCCATTCAATTTATATACATATATGATTTTTTTTTTCACGGCTTAGAGAATGTCCTGGTAATGTAAAAGGGAGTGGCATAGACGCATTAAGTCCGTGGGTGGCCCCACGCCGTGTATTCTGCGGCAAGTGTATGACCGCTTTCTCTTGCGGTGTTTGCTAAGTATTTATTGGTAAACTCCGGGCTTTTTTCTTTGGTTTCTGTAAGGCAAGAAATAGCGGCTTCGTCAGCCAATAAAAAATAGATCCCTCGATCATTTTTCTCCCTCCCTGTGCGTCTTCGTGTATTAACATGTGTTTAAAAAATCGTCTTTTGTACATTTATGCAATTTTAGTCTAGAAATCCACGCACAGGAAAATGGTGTAGCTCTTGCAGTATTTATTGCTTTCCCTTTTCCTTTGTTATGGCAATTTTTAGTGCCAAATATTAAGCCGAAACGAAAAACTTCCAAAAAATTATTTCCCATTTTTAGTTTCCTCCTGCATATAAAAATACAATTTTTCAAGTGTTAAAGCGTATGCTTTACTTAAACTTGCGTAATCGATGCCAAACGGTTATAAGAGCTCTCTCAGTACTCACGAAAATTTCATTTATTCATTTGCCTTTATTTTTTACATACATTACTGTCGCTGGTTTGAAGTTATTTAATCAGTCACGGTTACGTTTGACACTGTGTGGAATGTGAATTTCAGTTTATTCAACCTGTGTTAGTATATTTACACCCACCTGACTTCTTTTTTCAAATTGTGGACCTCTTTTTCATGCATGTCCGTGTGAGGTATTGTCTCAAGTGGCAAACGTTCAAAGAGTTTACTAAGAGTTCAAAAGCGTATTACATATTACATCAAAATTTGCTGGGCTTTTGCAAATTTCTATCGTTTGACCACTGTGAGGTAATGGTGTCCTTCAGGCAATAGAGATATTTCATTTTTTTAGTATCGTGTTTACGGCATAAAGCAACGATGGTCACGTGACCTTGTTCGCCTTATCCATTTCCAACTAAGGACGAATGTTTTCTCCTCGGTATGAGACGTTGAGGGTATATGAAGATATACAACTAAGTTGAGCTCATATCAGTCAGGCCTTTTTATTAAGGGAGGGGAACGGGTAGGGAATGGTATTTCCCTTGCATTTTGACAGTCAAACTTTTGTATTATTCAAATTATAAATTGATGACCACATGCGTGCTCTCATTGGAGACAACTTCTAATATTAAGATTATCTCCCTCAAGACAACACGCGCTTGCCGCTGTGCTGTCTCTTTAAACTTAAATGCGATCTCTCTTCCTTGGGCACGTTTCAGTTATAATTGGTTGCAGAGATAAGTGGGTTGGGCCCAAGCCTATTCAAAGACTCTTTTTGTGCATAAAATGTGTAAAATTGAAATTAATAACATAAAATCCCATAACAATTTTGCAAAGATTTTTGCGAATAATTCTTCAGCATTTTTTTCCAAAGGGCCAACCCATTTGAGGCTTACCGTAGCATTAGTGCCTAAGCCCACTCCAGTGGAGTAGGGCTTAAATCCATAAGTAGTTTCTTAAGAATTCTTCAGTTATGAAGATAGCTGGGGCTCAGGTATGAACAAGGCTGTCAACAGTTAAGCGGGTTGATAAAGTGGAACCTCAAAATGACAAACCTCGATATAACGAAACCTCGCTATGACGAACATATTTTGACGGTCCCCTAGCCCTTTGTTAAGTATAATAAAAAATTGGTTCGGCTGACGAGAAATCTATCAAATACATGTAGCCATAGTAGAGGAGACTGGTTAGGAAACCCGGCAAACATCAAAGTTGAAAACAATGGTGCTGTAGTTTATGTTGGAAGCTCCCTGACCGTGCACAATCCTTTGTTTTCTGTTCACAAATTATGACTGAATAAATTAAATGCAATGTTTCTATTGGTCAATAACTTCAAACTGATAGGAATGCTATTGAATGTTGTGCACGGTCAGGTCCAAAAAAGCTAAAAAAAACCGGTAACAAAGGGTTTACCTACCATTTCACTTCTAACTTTCGATAACATCATTGCCATGTCTAATTCACATTTTCAAGAAAATCAACTCGATTATCGATCCAGTCAAACCCCTGTAATAAGGAAAACGGGTGACACGAATGGCAGGAGGCAGTTTGGCCAAGTGGATAGAGTGGTGGACTTATTATGTGAAGGCTCTAGTTCAAGTCCTCAAACCGGATTTTATCTCCATAGTCCCGACTTCAAATCCTCGCCCACCCGTCACAAAATGCTTTGCCTCCTACCAGCTGAGGTTGCTATTATTGTTTCATTTGAATTATTTATTTCATTATCCCTGAAAAGCCCCATAATGGAAGAGACTAATTTAAGTATATATCATTATCATTATTATCTTTGCCCCAGTTGTTGAAAAAAATTCTTGAAACAAAGCCAACCTACCCTACTCAAAGTGGAAACGTCGTTCGGAACGTTATATTAGGTTCTGCCTTACATAAGTTTCTGTTACTCGGGCCTCAATGCGTTACCGTGATTTTCGATACAGTAGAATCCCGGTAACTCGAACTTTGAAGGGAAACGAAAAACAGTTCGAGTTATCGGGGTAAATTTCAGTAAAAGTGTGATCAAGGGAAAGGAAATTTAGTTCGAGTTAGCGTGGATTCGAGCTATCGAGGTTTTACTGTATATACATATAGGAGCTCGTTTTATTTGGGTTTCACTATATGAAGAACAGTTTACAGACCATTGACGCTGTGTTTCATCGGGACTTGACTGAAGTGTTAAAACAAGTTAAAGCCAATGCAATATTGTACATTGTTGTTTCATTTTATTATGATACATTACGTGCATCTTTACAGCTTTATTTAAAAGCATTTGCAGTGGCTTGCGGGGCAAAATCCAGCTGCACAGTTGGTCTCGCACCATGCATCCATGCCAGGGAACTGGTCATAAGGTGGTACTGCGACACAACCACCATTAGGTCCTGATGTACCTGGTTCGTTGGTCGGTGGTTTTGGAGCTGATGTGGTGACTGGGTTTGGCTTCACAGTTGTTATAGGGCCTGGCGCAGGAGTGTTGGGAAGTGTAGTCTGCACCGTGGGACTAGGTGATGGGACGTAGCCACCCAAGGACTTTTTGACGGAGCTTATCAGGGGGTAGGGACCTTCACCACATTGACTGCCACTGAAATCATCTAAATCAAGGGCCCAGAACATAACACCCTTGAGACCTTTTTTCTCGACCACCTCTTTTACCTTATAATAAAGGCTGCGTGGATCATCAAAGCCTACCCAGGTGGTGTGGCTATAACCATAGGGAGCCTTAACTGCGTTGTCTGTGACGACATTCAAACCCATCTTGCAGATCTCGTAATACGCCAGAAAGCCTGCTTCGCGGGTGTATGGACCTTTGATGGGGTTCTGCCAGTCGTGCTTAGGAGCACCAAGGCCATGGTTATTGGGATCTTTCAACCTGAATGCTCTCCCGTATGTCCCCATTCCAAGAGCAATCTTCTCTGCTGGGAATCCGTTGTCGATCCAATACTGAGCCGCGAATGGAACGTTGAGCTTGTCTTCTCCTGACATGGCTGTATGATGCCCTGTCACTGAGTCCCAGTTACCGTGTAGGTCATAGGTCATCAGGTTAAGAATATCCAGAAGTGGACCGAGCTTGTTAACCTCGTAGGCTTTTTCGACTGTAGTATAACCAGCTGCCACAGCGGCGGTCAGCAGCAGACGAGGCTTTCCAGTAGCGGCAGCTTCAGCCTTGAAAGCATTTAACAGTTCCTGGCAGAGAAGGGTAAACCTCTGTTTATCCCCTGGGGGCGAGCCTCCTCTTACAGCGGGATACTCCCAGTCCAGATCAAGACCATCAAAGCCCCACTTCCGCAACATGTCAATTGCTGAGTCTATAAATACCTAGCAATAGATGATAAATGTTAAAAGAAGCAATCAGTACTGTAAAACTGAATTTTTTGACCAAATTGACTTTAAAGCATAAATAAATAGGACGAAAAAAAAAAGAAGAAACGACACTTGAAGTTAGAGCCCTTTCCCATAAAATACAACAAGCTATCATATTAAAAGTAAAACTCGAAAAGCCGACGTGCTATAGCTATGGAATGGAAAAGCGCTGAGCAACCTTCTCGACCTTCATGGTTCTCCATATCAGTTCAGCCTCATCAAATAATTGCTGAATTTAGTTTCACATGTTTTATCTCTTCATGTAACAATATCTGAAACCGTTAACCTGGGCCTACCGATGTTTGCAGTTTTCCTTAAACGTGATTCTAAATCTGGCAATTTTAAACTGTACTGACTCTCGTGTAACCATACATCTCCCTTTTGGGCTGAAAATCTTCATTTTGGAATCATCTATTTGAGTTTTAACCTTTCCTTAATAACTTTACCTTCCTAGAAGCTCTGGTTTTGACCATCTTAGAAAATGGGCTGTCTTGGTTTTCGTGGTTCCAGCCACCTACGGCCAGGGAGGTTTTCAAACCGGGGTTTGCCTTCTTTAGAGCGTTGAACTTTGGGTACCATATGTCATCGTTCCACTCGAACATGGCTAGTTTGTTTGTTTGGCGGTCAATCTTTGCAAATGCGTAAACCAGATGAGTGCAGAGGAAAGGATCGATATTTTCAGGGTTAAACCTGCCGATACCAGGCCGATACTGGGACCAGTTTGTGTGGTAACACACTCGCACATAATTCTTAGCACTGACGTGCGACGCGAAGCTTATAATGAGCAAAGCGAGAAAGGAGCGCATGGCTTTCGACTTAAAAAAATGTGGAAAAGATTACTCCCTAAATAGTTCAGTTACGTTTTATGTAGTCACATTTATAGTTGCAAGCAGCTGAGCACACGAAAATAGTTTTTTTCATTCATCTGGCCAATGACAATTCTTATTTGTTTAATAAAAACAATGGGGTTTAAACATAACTGAAAACATGATAGTTCGGTTTTTTTGTTTGTGGAAAACATACGTTGTATCGCAAATAGGACGCTACCAGGGGCGTGAACCGTTTCTTTTGCCAACGACGTGTTAAAAAGAAGACTAATTTCCAAGATATAAATCCCTACAGTTTTTCAGTTATATTCTTCAGAGAGCGTTCATGAGAACTAAAAGTAAAGAGTCTGTTTTTACTTTATTTTTCTTATTTTTAGAAAAGTGGCACGAACTGCGCGGCCCTGGTATTTTGTTAATTTGAGACTAAAATCATGCCCTCCCCCAATCCATGATTAGACGATGTCCGGCTTGTTTGATTTTTCTGGTTACACAGCTTTAATTGCAGTTTTTGTGGTCTTAGCTGGTACATGTATGAACTTTAAGAAAGAGATTTCCGAATATCCTATCAAACTGTGGCTCCGCAATGCTGAGTACTTTGGTACGACAACCTTAATGTTGGAAATGTAGGTTACCAGTGAAAGCAATACGGTTTTTAACGGCTACAGATAGTTAAAATATTTCTCATTGTTTGCGAGGTGTACAGAGAACGAAAGTTCGGAATAGCCATCTCAACTTTGAATTTCCGCACAGCCGCATAGAATTCGCCGAGCCATTTGACTCTTGGAGAAGAGTGATATTGTGCATAGCTTTATAAACTATTTTTTAGACGTTCACTAGTGGTGTTGTCTAAGCTTTTGTTATCGGCAAAAAGAAGGAATGAACAACAACTGCTCTAAGTTTTCCACATCTTAAATTTTAGTTTATTCACCTGAACAATATTTGGCACTAGATAAAGTTGTTACATTGCGGCGGAAACTAAGGACAAGGATATCTTTAGTTCTTCACAGCCGACCTTCGACTAAGTCCCTGTACAGAATGTTAGAATCATCTCTGAGCTAGCGTGTTAAACCTGCCGATACCAGGGCGATACTGGGACCAGTTTGTGTGGTAACACACTCGCACATAATTCTTAGCACTGACGTACGACGCGAAGCTTATAATGAGCAAAGCGAGTAAGGAGCGCATGGCTTTCGACTTAAAAACATGTGGAAAAGATTACTCCCTAAATAGTTCAGTTACGTTTTATGTTGTCACATCTATTGTTGCAAGCAGCTGAGCACACGAAAATAGTTTTTTCATTTCATCTGGCCAATGACAATTCTTATTTGTTTAATAAAAACAATGGGGTTTAAACATAACGGAAAACATAATAGTTCGTTTTTTTTGTTTGTGGAAAACATACGTTGTATCGCAAATAAGACGCTACCGGGGGCGTGAACCGTTTCTTTTTCTAGTGACGTGTTAAAGAGAAGACTAATTTCCAAGATGTAAATCCCTTCAGTTTTCCAGTTATATTCTTCAGAGGGCGTTCATGAGAACTAAAAATAAAGAGTCTGTTTTTACTTTATTTTTCTTATTTTTAGAACAGTGGCAGGAACTGTGCGGCTCTGGTATTTTGTTAATTTGAGGTTGAAATCGTGCCCTCCCCCAATCCTTGATTAGGCTATGTCCGGCTTGTTTGATTTTTCTGGTTAGACAGATTTAATTGCAGTTATTGTGGTCTTAGCTGGTACATGTATGAACCTTAAGAAAGGGATTTGCGAATATCCTATCAATCTCTGGCTCCGCAATGATGAGTACTTTGGTGCGACAACCTTAATGTTGGGAATGTAGGTTACCAGTGAAAGCAGTACGGTTTTTAACGGCTATAGATAGTTAAAATATTTCTCATTTTTGCGAGGTGTACAGAAAACGAAAGTTCGGAATAGCCATCTCAACTCTGAGTTTCCGCACAGCCGCATAGAATTCGCCGAGCCATTTGACCCTTGGAGAAGAGTGATATTGTGCATAGCTTTATAAACTATTTTTTAGACGTTCACTATTGGTGTTGTCTAAGCTTTTGTTACCGGCAAAAAGAAGGAATGAACAACAACTGTTCTACGTTTTCCACATCTTAAATTTTAGTTTATTCACCTGAACAATATTTGGCACTAGATAAGATTGTTACATTGCGGCGGAAACTAAGGACATATCACAAGGATATCTTTAGTTCTTCACAGTCGACCTTCGACTAAGTCCCTCTACAGAATGTTAGAATCATCTCCGAGCTAGCGTGTTTGTTTGTTTGTTTGTTTTTTTAATTTTGTTCCATTTTTAATCCTATTATCTTTGTTTCTACTGCTTTCTTTTCCCTTCTCTGAATGTAAAGAAAGAGAACAACTATTTCTCCTTGCCTTTCTTTTATTATTATTATTATTATTATAAAAAATTTAACATAAAAATTAAAAAATAATAATACATAAAAAATGTAGCGCAACGCCTAAATTAAAAGAAGTCACAAATCAAACTTTGTTGCCGCTTTGTTATGAAAGAATCGATTCTTGCATTAACGACTATGATGTATTACGAGTTATGGACGCACAAGTTTGGAGAACCGCGCGAGAAGTTAGAGTTGCGCTCGGATACTCCTTTCATATGATCAGTCGCCCGAGTCGTCTCGCACCTTGCGATATAGCAACTGCGAAGCCAATGAAAAAATCACTCTTACACTGACTTTTCGTCCTTTGAAACTGTTAGGTGATTATTCCCTCTCACTTAGCCTTTTATAAGTTAGGAAATCAAGGTAGAGCTGAGGAGAAGAGACCGCGAGCGAGCTCATGTAGATACGATGAAATTTATCGCCTTCCCTTTCTCTCTCAAGGTAAGGTAACGGCGCACACGAGCCAAAGGCCCAAATGGCCGGAACTTATCCGGGTTTCATTAGCATGAAGCACCTAGGTGTAGTGCTACTTCCCCCTGGACGGGATGCCAGGGTTACCCCCCAGCAGTATGTCGCCGGTACCCATTTATAGACCTGAGCCTCCCAGAGAGCATGTACGCAGGTTAGATCGCATGGGACACCTAGAATTCGTAGGCCCTAGGTGTCCGAAAAATATAAGACTAGTGAAGAACACAAACTAAACCCTCGAGGACGGGTATTGGAGGTGTCCCCAGTCCCTTCCCCACCCAGATTGCCATTACCTTAAAAACAATCAAGTTGAGGGCTCTCTGATCGAGACGATAAGTTGATATGGAGCATTCTAGATCTGGAGCACGCAAATAACCAAAGATAGATTTAGTGTTTTGTTTTGATTTGCCAAAATTAGTTTTGCAAAGTCTTTTTGTTGTGGCTGTTTAAGTCCTTCAAAAATTTCCTTTTTGACTTGTCGGTCGCTCATTATAAGTATAGTATTGCACCCATAGGGTCAATGGCAGATTAAACATATCAACGATAACTCATCGTTCGTGTAGTTTGTGAATATCTCTTCTGAAGGTGATGAGATAACGGGGACGACAAATGTAATTAGTACAGTTATTCAGTGCACGCAAGTTTCATAAGTTCACCATATGCATGAAAGCTGAACTGGTCAATGGACGGTTTCAAAAGGTAGGAATAAAGGCGAGTGTTTACCTTTCTCTAATCTTTATGCTCGTTGTTATTTTATGGTATTCACAATCAATTAATTTCGTTTTTTAGGCTGTGTCTCTTAGTCTTTATCATTGTAGACATTGTGATCTTCGAATGTCCGACAAAAGCAAATGGGGTAAGTACATAAAATCATTACATCACCTTTTTAACTTCCTACCGGGAGATATTTTAACAGGCATACCGCGCCTGTTCTTGCTCCACAATATAATGATGTTTCCCTAACTTCTGTTTTCTCATCTTGTTGATATTCTGAAGCTTTTGATATGGATTTGAGCCACGACGATTCAAAAACTCTAAAATATTAGGGACATATTCGCTTTAATATCAAGTATTGAAGTGATTAGAGAATTTTATACCGTTTTTTTCGCGACCCTGGGGGCCTAAACTTGTGGAAAAATACCACTTGCGGAAAAATACCAGACGCACCTTTAACCCCGGATTCTCAAAACAAAAAATAGATTTATAAACAACAAGAAAAGGGAATCTAATTTTATAATGATCCCAAAAATTCTTAAAAATAATTCGCACGACAATTATCTTTTCGTGCTAAAATCCTTTCAAGAGCAGGAAAAGGAAGAGACAAAAAGCAATCAAGTAAGCAAGGAAATATATTACAGGTTTTGTAATAATATTTCTTGCACACTGAGAGGCAGTTGGATTTTTCCACTTTACTGAACTACTGCAAATAAATGTTTCTGCTGTGTGATAATTTCTTTTCACTGCTTATTTAATGATTCCCAAAAGATAAAACAAGTTGACACAAAATCGACGATTAACTAATGTCCATACGTTTCCGAATATTTCTAAATTCCACTGTTATTTTAGTAATGCGTTAATTTGAAACAAACTATAAGGTTGACAGCTTTGTGGAAAGTAACCAATTACTAAACCGTCTGAAATGTACTCAGTCTACTTCAGGAGCAAATTTATGGTCAATAAACTATGCAACTAAGTAAACAACAGGGTATAACGTACTATCAGCTGCCGTCAGGTAATATGGTAGCCTGCGCCAGAGACGGATCTAAACTTCGAGACACTAACCGGGGTTACGTTACGTCTGCAATGTAGGCTAGGAGTGGTTTGGTTAACGTGTACTTTCACATGAAATATCACAACTTGCTTTAGCTTGCTTTGTCCTAATATGTAGTATGACAGGGGATCATGTGAAAAGGTGTCTGACGCGCGTAGAAGGAATTCTGTTTGTTGTTTGTTTTTTTAGTATTATTACTATAATTATTATTATTATCATTATTATTATTTCATATGTATCTAGTAGATAAGAGCTTATATAAAGCCAATGTAAGTAAATTTTATAGGTCATTACATTTTTTACAACTAACTAAATTAAGCAAGTCGTCACTTGGCCAGTCGAAGTGTACTTAAGTTGAGTTTAGCTTTCACCAAAAGGTCACACAAGGAGAATAAATATTCCATATTCCTCAAGAATTTCACAAGCCTGCTTAGTTCGCAGTCTTAGTTAGTCTTCTTGAAAACGTAGTCAAAAATGCAGCTTCCAGGAGCTCTGGCCAAATTAGTAGCCATTGCACCTGCTAGGGTAGTGGTCAGTTTCACGTGGCTGTTGCAATTTGTTCAAGAAATGAAACGAAGAGAAACAACAAAAATGGATGTTTGTCCTCGTGCCTGTAATTTTTTGTGTTTCTTTACCTATGGTGATTCTTAATTGGATTAAGCTGTCAGGGGCTTTCGACGACATTACATTGAGAACAACTGATTATCAAGATTAGATCGATTAAAATGTACCCTCTGTTTCATTGCATGTAAAAGCAAAATGAAGCGCTTGAAAAAGGACGCGAAGACATTAACCAGACTTTCGAACAAGGGGAGGACTTTTATGAATGGTCAGTGTGGAGTCCTTGTTCGAGAAGCTGCGGCATTGGAGTGAAATTTAGAGGACAGTTGTGTCTTCGGTGAGTTTTTTTAATGTAGAACTATAATGGTTTGATATTTTTTCAAAAGTGTTGATACCTGAAAGTACACATCCACGAAGTGTCTCGGAGAAGGGGGAGTTGGTTTAGTAATCACCAGCCAAGGACTTATTTCTGGATATTTCGCTTGTCGTCCATATCATATCATAGCAACAATCTGTAACCAGTTTACAAAAGTAAAGAAGGAGTACCTTTTACATAAATTGAGAAAAAGAGGCCCTCGAAAAGGGTGGCATCCAGTGTTTCCCCTGTCTTTTGCATGGGGGTGATAAAATGAATGTGTGTAAGTTATGTTTGACAGTAGTGTATTGTATCATCTATATAATTTATCTATATCTAGGAAAAACAAGGCATTGTGTGTGGAGAAACCGATAATATATGAAACGTGCAACCCACAGGTAAGGATAGCTAAGCCATTGCACAATCAAAACGAACTGGAACGTCCAAAAAAAAGTTCGTCATAGTTTAGTCCGATTTGCGGAGCTAGTATTAGCGAGAATCATCTTCGTCCTTGCTCAAATTAGTTACAAAATATTGGATCGAATCCGAGGAAATGTGTCCTCCATCATACAGTCAAGTATTCCTTTATTATTTTGTTTCGTTTCATGCTGTTTTCTTAAACAAAATGAACGAAGAAAAAGAGCAACAGAGCCCCCTTCCCTCTACCATGAGTGGGGGTTTTACTCACACTCGATAGTCGTGGCGTCACAGTTTTAAAGTGAGCATGTGAAATACAAGTGGGTTTGGCTCTTTCGAAAAAGAAACCATTAGTCTGTTTGTAGGACTATCGACTGTCAATTTATGTTTTCCTATTTTTTCCCGAATTTTGTAATTGTTAATTTTTCACTTAATATACGTGTAAGTTCTTACGAAGAAAGTTGAAATTTTCGGTAGTCCTTAAATTTCTTACGTAGTTAGTCATACTTTTATATAGATCGTTTCCTGTTTATGTAAATACGAGAAGGCCGCACGTTATCTTGTAGAAATTGCTAGTATACGCTGGCAGATCAAGAATTTCAGTCACTTGGCCTATATTTCCCCTGATTCATCTACTGTCTCACACGTTTTCGTCACATTCCCTTAAATTAGCTTCCTTCGACTCCTACACATCCCCCACTTCCAAAAGCATTGCCTGTACTCTCAGGCAGGTGTGGCACTCATCTCTGAATGGACAACTTTTTGCAAGGTGTTGGTTCTTGAAAAGGTCTTCCAAATAATAAATAATTTGATTTTTGGAATGAGCTATACTTACTCTAGCCGTGTCGGGTGAGTATGGTGAGAAATGCATACTATTGTGATCAAGGTACGACCATGTGAAGTTAGCTTTGTGAGGGGCTCCATTGTCAGTATGGAACTGGATTCCGGACCGACTAAATGTCCGTGCAGTTGACTGGATACGGAAGATAACCCTTGTAAAAACTGAAGTTATATAACTTGTGGCAGTGAAGGTAGCCCGTCGCGCGTTGCATCGGCAACAAAAGGCCCCTGAAGATTGACGACAATTGTGAACATCCTCATTCTTGCACGGAATCTGTTTTCAGGACGTCTAACGTAGTTCATGATCTTCAGTCAACCACACCATGTTGGAACGTTTTCATGTTGAAGAAAAGAAATCCAACACTTGTCACCAGTAACAACATAAAAACTCTTGTGGCCATTTGGTTTAAGTTCTTGCAAGCACTTGAAGAAGACATTCACCCCTTGTTCCCTTTTTTTTCTCAACTGGTACCTGGTACGGGACCGGTCTTACACTCTTCATGAACCGACCCGGCTGATCATGGACTTTGGAATCTGTACTTCCTCAGCTTCCACCAAGATCCAAGGCTGAGAATCTAAGCCACTTAGCACAGAACTGTCATTCAAAGAAGTCTGTGGTCTCCTAGTACGTGTATCCTGTTCTACTTCTTCTCCACCATCAGCAAAATGCTGAATCCATCTGGTAACTTTGCAAAAAGACGTTACCAGGTCGTCTTAAACCTTGGCAAGCTCTTCTGGTGGACAGGCTTTGCTCCATTTTAACGGTTTCATGTCACAACCAAATCAGCGACTGAATGAAAGGTCCTGGCAAATTCTACTGACGGACTTTATTTGAGAGCTAAATTGACAAAACAATCAAAAATAGAACTGTGAAAGGTTTGAACCCAGGAGTTATTTCAAAAGTAGGTTGAGTTTGATCGTCCGGGTGAAGGTAGTCCTCCACATTTCCCCATTATCCCCATAAACATTACTTGAACGTTACCTCTTGCAATTACACCGAAAGATCTCGACAGGGTGGGAAGATGAGCAGATAAAGTGATTAAGGGAATGAGAGCTAACTGCCAACCAGAATGTATGTGTTTGTGTTTCACTTTGATTTGTTTATGAATCGCTCTTTTTTTAGGCATGTCCTCCCGGAGGCACAAGTTTTCGTGATTTGCAGTGTGGAATTTATAACGATAGAAATATATTCATCAATGGTCACAAAGCAAAATGGCTATCATATGTTCGAGGTATCTGAACATTCTCGTACTTTACAGTGGAAATTTGAATTGGTTTCAGCAAAGAGTATAATTAAATAAATATATTTTCACATTATGTCAGGCTGGCGATATTGGTATTTGAAGTTTAACTCTTTTCTTATGTACACACTTTCGTTTCACTAAATTTGCCTTGTATCTTGCCACTTGAGTGAGAGCGCTCTATACAAGCCATCATAGTAATTTCCAGTAGGTGACAAGGTTTTTTAATGAACCGAGAAGACTTAATAGCACAACTTCTAAAGCCAAAAAAATCCCAAATCAAATATCTTACTCGCTATTTACTTAAGTAATCGCTGGTAACAATTCGCATTTTTAAAAAGCAGCTGCTTGTATACCATGCGCATTGAAATTCTTCAAAATTGAATAAAATCGTTTCAGCTACCAATTCGGTGCATTTTATTTCAGGTGACAATGAGTGCTTGCTGTTCTGCTACCCTCAAGGAGGACAATTATTTTATTATTTTGGAAAAGCAAAGGATGGGACTCAGTGCTCCAAAGAACCTCGCGGCGTATGTATACGTGGGCGATGTAAGGTAAAATGAAAAATAAAAAAAGGACATAATATCACAGTGATTCGAAGTACTGTATACTGATACGCTATAATGTTGAGGATTTTTGCATTCAGCCCAAAACAACAAAGCCAAACAAACGAATAATTATACTCCACGGTAAAGTGAAAGGAAAGCAATGATGGATTTTTCCCAGATAAATAAAAGGGAAAAGGGACGAATTTTTCAAGTTTTAGTCACCTTCCATACGAACCTTTTCCTAACCGAATTCATGTTTAAATCTCTTTTATGTTCTAGTTGATTGCCAATTCACCTAAGTCGATTTGTTTTGATACTTCATCAGGATGTTGGAGTCATAGCTTTTCTTGATGACACTGCACCCATATAGTTTAAGTAATCTGCTTTGTTGCATATTTTCATGGTTAAGCCAGTGGGATGGGACAATGTTCTCGAGTCAGGTGTCTACCTTGACAAGTGTCGCGTATGTGGTGGGAATTCCACAACGTGCGAGCCAGTCAGAGGAAGAATAGAAAGATCACCGAATCATTTTGAAAAGATGTCAGGTGAGAGGGTGACTGCTTTGTGGGTCGAACATTAAGAGCTAAGCATACAGATATATATTTCCTGTTTTGTTGTAGGGTTTTGTATTCCTCCCGCTTTTTCTTGGTATGAGTGGGAATTAAGGCTTTCGTTAGCTAAGAGTTCTTTTTATTGTGTAAGATTCACAATTTAATATCTGTTGAACAGGAAATTACTTTGTACAATGTGTAACTATTAACAAAATTTTCTCATTAGGATATGCAGAGGTAATGGTCATTCCAAAGGTTCAAGGAGTGTGTTTCTTTCAGATGAAACCTGAAATTATTTAGGTAGGCTGGAAAAACCAAAACCGACAAAACACATAGTCAAGTAAAATACAAGTAAAATTAAAGCTTCTACTAGCTTGGGTACTTCCCCTAAGACCAAGAATTCATAATTAGGTCTCCACTGGTGGATAACACTTGCTATCTGACACAGTTCTTAGTTAGGGTAGGGTGGTACCGTCTAATGCAAATTGCTTCTTTTACCCCTTCAAAACCGAGCACTCTGTCCCGACATATAGTACTTTGTATATTTGTACTAATCTCTATGTACGAATACTTAATTCGTCTGTTGAGATCGGGGTTCCCGAATTAAATTTCGGATGAGCTTATTCTTTACTCATCCATCTATAACATTCTGAATTTCTTCATTTCAGCTATAAAGAGAAAAAACGGTGATTATGTCTTCAATGGCGATCGGATAGCAAGCTGGTCTGGTTTGTACAAAATTGGTGACGTGGATGTTCAGTACACGAAATTTTCAAACAATATCAGAGAAACCATCCAGATACCAGGACCCTCCGAAGAAGATATTTATGTAATGGTTAGTCACTCTTAGCTTCTATACAGCATAAGTAACATTTCTTTTTCCATCTCAGTTGGTATTTTTGGTAACGCAGATTTGCCCGAAAAAGTTAGTAATTATTCTTGTAAACAACCTTGGCAAAACAGATCGTTAACATTAGGTCTCTACCTCGTTTAACACCAGTGCAACCGTCGGCCTTGAATGTGCCCCAGTGATTTTATTTTATTTATTTTTTCAAATTTGTGAAGCACGTAAGGTTCCTTAGTGGACGTTCGAGTGGTTATTAGGTAGATTTAGCAAAGGTCACACAATGTCTAATAAGAATGTAAAAGTTCACACAAAAGACTGAACGCAACATCCATTTTTTTAATTTGCCACACTGCTATTGGCCAATTTGATTTTAGATCTACGCGCGCCGTCACAACGTCGTAAGGGAATTTTAACTTTACCCGAAAACAAGCTTTGACTAACCCACGCCTACTGAGGGTAAACCAAGTCGAAATATAAATATTTGTTTTTATATATTAGGCTTCCTAATGAATGTTTTAAAAGCTTTGACAGAATTTTTCTTTGTACTGATTTTTACTATTATGCTTCGTTTTAGTGTCTGCTTATTACGGGAAAACTTAACACAAGCTTTGAATACTGGATGCCGATAAAAGATACAAAAGTTTTACAAGGCAAGTGGAACGATCTAAAGAAACGCAAATTTCTCCTCTGAGGAAGTGCTTTGAATAATGTTAACGGGGCTGTGAAAATTTGTATGAGTACCTCAATTCGCAATGCTTATACAATGGTCTTTCGCTTTCTGTACAATAAAATTATATTAGTATAGGTTGGAATGATTGCAACTTAGAAATCGTATAGAATATTGGAGAACTTGTCTTTTTGGGAGCACAAAACTCATTTAATCCTTCTTGAGTGCTTGAGAGTGAACACTGGTGACATCAAATTTTTAAAAAATGGTAAAGTATGAAGGGGACAAGTTAGTTTTGGCCGATTTTTGTTTCCTTTTTTGTTCCAGAAGCAGCTGAAGTCAAGACATATCTTCAGGGCAACCGCTTAGACTTACTGATAGAGTGGGGTAGGTGGACAGCTTGTTCTACCACATGCGGAGGTGGAATCAAAGTACGGGCTCGAAAGCGCGGCAACGGAGACGTTTCGTCCTTCCTAGGTGGAGAGACAGACGTTCAGCGATGCGGTGATGTGCCGTGTGATGAGATGATGTCTGAATGGTCGGAGTGGGGTCCGTGGGATGATTGTAGTGCATCGTGCGGAGGTGGAGCAAGGATGAGGTTTCGTTATTGCAAAACACCTAACCAGTCTACTGACAGATCTAGCTGTCTCGGTGATAGATACGCAGTGGAGCTCTGCAACGCACAGGAGTGCCCTACAGAAGGTGTCAATGTAGCAGTTTTGCTTTTTATAAAAGTATTATTGAAGCTTGCAACATAACCACGATACTAAGATTAGCTTGGCGTACAGTATGATAATTACACTTTTTCTAAATTTTGTAAACTAAGCAAATTATTTTTAAGGTTCACTTAGCTTTTTGTACTGTTAAACATCTTTAACATGGACACCGAAGAGACCGAAGGGTACGTTTTACAGAGACGTCCGTATTCAGTTAGAAGTAGGGATTGTGTTATGTTTGGTGTCACTGGGACTAGGGGAGGAGAAAGACATAAAAAAAAAAACAGCCGACATCTCACGACGTAGCGACTGGTATTCTCGCGAAGTGACGTCTAAGGAACTACAGCAGAAATTTCATACTGATGACATTTCACTACCCAAAAATGCTTCTGAATGGTCGTAACAGGAGGGATATTTGTTTCAACTGTTCAACTACCCTGATCTGGATAGTGTGACGTCATCAGCATTAAATTTCTGCACTCGTTCCTGAGACGTCATTTCGCGAGGATACCGTAGGTGGCGTCGTGAAATGTCATTTGTTTTCTCAGGCCAACCAAGACACGGTTATTGTGATATTCAATACGGGCATTATCACTTTTTACCTGGCAGGCTCGGTAATTTTTGAAAAATAGTAGCGTTAACCTACAATGTAAGCTTAGCGCGAGCCTTAACCCATAGTTTCCTCTTTATGGCTACGAGTGAACACACTTTTAAACTAGCGTAACTTTTGGCGTCATGTTTTCAGGATTATTTCGTCTTACGCTTATGTTGCCTAATCAGGAACATTCAGATCTCACAATATAATGATCGTAGCTTAGTTTTCTATTGTTTGAATAGCCTTTTTAAGGTTGCTTTTGATTTTTGTTGTTGTTTTTGTCTGTTTCTTATAAAAGGAAAGATGGCAAACACTTCGGACATCATCAATGTGGAAACGCCTTCATTATTGCAGGAAAATCCCGCAGTGAATTATACAGGAACGAGCTATGAAATTTCTCCCTCCTCGTCAATTACTCCTAAAGATAATTTTTGGGATTCGCACAAAATAGCAAGGACAACACCTTTTTCTACGAGCTTTTTTGATGTGTCTCAGTCAACACCGTCTACGCTAACAGGTTATACGTTGACTTCCCCAGAGATATTCCATTTCCCTGCCAATTCATTTCTCGTGTCAACGATAAAAGCGTCCAGAACTACCTATGGAAGTTACTTTTCAGTCACTGAACGAATGATTCCTGTTTCCTCTGACCATGACCAAAGCGTTACGCCATTCTCTTCCAGTGGCGTGCGGAAAATCTCTACTTCAGGACTGAATAAAATTTTGGATAGCGCAGAACGTGGGCACACCTTAGCAAAGACGCTCATTCTCCCTTCTAACAAACTATCTACGACTGAAGCCAACGTTTTGGTTGTAAGGCCATCATTTTCAAAGTGGCTGTTCCTACCCACGGATCCAACTGAGATGGTTTCCAAAATGACAACCAACGCTCGTTCAATTGTCCTTGGATCTCCCGAAAGGTCACAAGCTATCACTTTTGGCGAGAGCATTTTCCCATTATTTGTAACCCACAGCATAATAACAAGACCCAGGGAGAAATTGGCGTCCAGTTCAGTTTTGAATGAGAATATTTCTTCAAGTAGAAAAGCCTTTGAAGTAACGTCGATGCCAGAAAGACACACGATTCAAAGGAGCAATTTGGTGTCTTTATCAGTCAAACGGGCAGCATCTTATTATCCCTCGTCTTCTAGAGACGCACTGAGTACGACTGATAACACCAAAATGGCTGCGTCTGAAGCTAACTTTGTCACAAATGCTCTAGTGACAACACCCGTTTCTAGCCAAGAGAAAATGGTGTCACTCAATGATTCTTCATTAAGTAATGCAGAACAGTCGACTACATTGAAGCCACAGACCGGGTCTTCGATATTTGATGTAAATTTAAGACATCCAGTTATGTCCACAAACTCATTTTCTCGTCAATGCAAGGCTACTGAGTCAGGCAAACACTTAGGAAAAATATCTTCGAAGTTGATAACGACACGCAGCGCAAGAACACCCCCATCAACAGTATTGACATCTTTTGAAGGATCATCAGGTCCGGTGGGTTACGCTCCTTCATCACCAGAAGAAACTGAAGCTTTTTTGTTAAATGTAAGGACGAGGTCTTTCTTGCCACCTACGGAACAAACTAGACCGCAAACGAGCTTCTCCATCGGAACAATATTATTCTTTGAACCTAATGATGTGCGGTCGGGCCGTGTTCTGCAGAAAAATGCAAGTAAATCTTCAGGTCTTTCATCCTTTCTTAACCCATCTGGACATAATATAACTCCTCGATCTTTTCCTTCTACTAAGCAAGAGGTAGATGACACCAGGAAAACAGCTGAATTGGCAGTTGAAGGACAAGACTTGTGGAGGGACGCAATCGAATTGTCATCAAGGATAAACACCTTTACAAAATATTTTCATGCCTCAAAGGGACAAGATATAAATACGAAATCAACTAAGATAATTTCAGAAGGAATCATTGCAGTCAATAGTGTTCGTCCTACCAAGACAACTATACCTTTTGAAACCACGAAAAAACTCATCGTCTGGCCACCGACACCAAGCATAGCTTTATCAACAAGTGAGCGTTTGAAATCATCAACTGGCTATAGTCACGGGAGACTGTCAAGGTCTGTATTTCCGACTATCGTTTCAGGATTGCCAAAAGAAGCTCTAACCAAAAGCACCTATTCTTTTGAGAGAGAGATGTCTTCGAGACCATCACCAAGTTTCCAACTTCTGCCTACTTTATCAAAAATACCGACGCCATTAGATGAAGCAAAATTGTTACTTCCTTCCCCCAGTATTAACCTGAGTTCCGCTGGTACTGGTTTTACTATCACCCCATTGTCACCGTCTTCATATTTTTCACCGTTTACCAAATCACAACATTCAGCAGGGAGAAGTGAAGACATAGAAAGTGGAGATGTATCTATTTCACTGTCAAAGGAAGAGCCGCCATCATCAATAACAACAAAAGACACCTTAATCATGTATTCTAAAAACCCACCTTCGACCTTGCATCTCGCCCATCCTTCCAGCGCTATAGAAGAAGGTCCTCTTCTTCAAAGTGCAATTTCAACCAGTGTTTTACGCAATCAACCGGTGCTTTCGTCACCTTATCCACAGTTTAATTCAACACCAAGAGAGGTAAGGACCAACATGCAGTCTAACGATATTTCTTCGTCCATAGTACCTATTACAACTTCCTTGTCTTCACGGACAACCTTAGCTCCAAAGGAGGAGGGTTCAATAACAAGCAAGGATTCTGGTTTTCTACGGAATTCAATAATGAAACAAAATTTGATTAACAATGAAACTGATTCCTTTTACAGTTCGTTGCTCAGGGAGCGTGTATCATCATCAATCACAGAGAGTACCCAAGTAACGAAGGGGAAAGAGACTTTAAAAATAGAGTGGTTACCAAGGTCATCCTTAATTCAAAATTTACTTTCCTCATGGAATAAAGTGCCTACTGGAACACTAAAGGAAGACTTTAAGGCAACACAAATCGATTCTTTCATGCGTCCATTACCAGGACAAGCCATTACATCATCGACAAAAATGCAGTTTCGCTCGACTCAATCAAGATTGGAATCAGAATCCGTTGCAACTTCACTGTCAAGGACCAACATTCCAATGTCAGCGTCCAAAAATTCAACCCTTGAAGCCACCGTGTTGTTTTCCCCGTCCATTCCTTCGGAAATCCACTTCAACTTACCTCTGTCACCGAAAATGCGCTCAAAACAGAAAGGTGAAGCCATAAAACCGACCCTGTCTTCCTTCTCTGGACCATCGTCTGTAGAGTCAATTCAACCCTCATCATATTCTGCTGTAAACGAAGAAGCACTACCTCGTCACAAAGAATACGTAACCATTGCCTCATTCAGACGGCGTACGCCACCTGCAACAGAAGGCGTTTTCACATATAGTGTGTTATCACTAAAAAGTATGTCGACCAGGAAATACAAGCAATTGTCAACTGGTACAAGCTTTAGCAACTTAACTCCAATGCTGAATGAATTTACCACATCCCTTCTTGGCCATCCTTCATTACTCTCTTCTCAAAGGTATCCATTGTCATCTAAGAGTATAGAGTACTTACGCTCATTGTCCGTACCCAGCCAGAAAGAACTCTCACCAAATCCCCCCTCACCTAATAAAACAACAAGGGAATATGAAAAAACTCTAATTGCACCTACGCTATCGACAGAGTTTTCGTCTTTTGAACACAGCGCAGTTTCCCAGACGTTAAAGGATGTTAGCCCATTTTTTCCGTCAGTTAAAAGAAGTGAGGCCGTTGGTGAATCCTTGGACTTCTCACTAGCTAGTGGATCATCGCAATCACCCTTGGATTTAAAATTTCCACCAATACAAAGGTCGTCGAGTAGCGATTTTGAATCATCAACAGCATCATTATCCAGGCTACCTAAAGTACCGATGAATGCGAATTCCAGTTCTTCGGCAAAAGAACACGTCATATCATCATCTCCTTTAACCAAACGCACGCAAATTTCATTATCTCGAAATTTAAACTCATCGACGAATGCAGACCATGTAAAACAGACGGTGTTAGATAAAAAGACCCCACCATGGCCGCCATGGCAAGCAATCTCGCCAACGCTTACGCAGTTTAGCTCCATAGAAGTTAAAAAAGTCACAATGTCATATATATATGGCTCCCTTTACGACTTCTTTGCCTCAACTCACACCTTCGTCAATGTATGCGCAGCAGATTTCAACAAGAGAGCAAAGTAAGTCCACAGGAAAAGAGTACGTCAGACTCTTAATGTTATCGCAACCTACGCAATTTTTAACGTCCTCAGGCGTTAGGCCAGCTGGTAAAATACGCACTTCAGTATCACAGAAAGACAAAATATTTACATATGAGTATTTCAACACTCGCCCTGCAGATGAATCTTCCACTAATAATGTGAACTCT